CAGCCTACAAGGTGGAGGATCGGGGCTTGAGGCCTCCAGGCGCTCCTGGCCGCCTGGTCCTCTCCCAAGTGCTCCCCATACGCTGCAGCTGTTCTGGCAACCCTGGGGCTTCCATCTGCCCTGGGCACCTTCCCGGGCCAGGGAAACTCAAGACCGCCATCCATCTGGCTGCCAGTTGATGTCATAAAAGGAAACGCTTATAAAAAGACCTTAGCTGAGCCGGGCGGTGTGGTACCGCATGCCTTTGATCCCAGCACTCTGGGAAGCTGAGGCAGGAGGATTGTAAATTCCGGCCCAGCTTGGGCAATTTAGCAACACAGTGAGACTGCTTTGAAATACAATAAAAAATGAAAGCAAAAGGTGAGGATGAAGTGCCAGGCCAAGACCCTGGGTTCAATCTCCAGTACCACAAAAACCAAAACCGGAAAACACCAAACTGTTACAAAGAAAAAACAAAAGCAGAGAGACTTCAAATAAAAAATGAGAAGTTGCTTTAATCCCGAGACTTCACTTCTGATTAGTGGCGAGGAGCCGTGGCAGCCAGCTGGGTCTGAGGCCACTGCAACTGGCTGGCCTGGGAGGAGGGGGAGAAGTACTTCAGGGAGGGAGGAATGAGAAGCTGGCAGTGGTGTGGCAGGGTTAGGGTGGGGGGCGTGGGGAGGGGAGCAGTCTCAGAGGCTCACATTTTTCTGCTTGCATTCCATGTTTTCCACATTTCCCACAAGGAACACGCTACTGCTTTCCCCCCTTCATTTTCTTGCACTGCTAGGGGTGTGTCACCCAACTGTGACTGCAGCACACCCTAGGCCCAGTGTTAGACTTTTATAATCAGGAAAGAACAGTTTTCCTTTTAAAGGAAGAGATAAGGAGCAGAGGAGAGCAAGCACGAGCTGCTTCAGCCCCTGGCTCCAGGCACCGCCAGCTCCTCCCACAGCACGCTCCGAGGTGCAGTGCAGCTGCAGCAGAGTCGCCCTCCTCGGGCTGGTTCTGGGCGGCTGGAAGCCCAGCAAGCTGGTTACCTGAATGGGGTCGGGCCCCCAGACATAGCTGTGGCGGTGGCGAGAGAAAAGTCAGGACCAGCTGTCTTCCAGTAGGAGTTAGTTTTAATGATTTAAAAATGAGTCTGTACAAAAGCAGCACTGCCCTGGTGCTTCCAGTCCCTGGTTCCAAGGTCTCTTCCGGCACTATCTCTTCGGCCAGTTGTGCCTGAAGCCTCTGCAGGGACAACACAAAGATGAGTTACTTCCCACTGTGTGCCAGGCATCTGCTCAGGGTCCGGAGGGCCATGCTGGACAGCAGCGACCCACGTGCAGCCACCAGAGGGGTGGCACGGCGGGGTGCGGTGGCCTGCACAGAGGCAGCAGAGCTGTCCTTCAAGCCACACCAGGTGTAGCCCCATCTCAGGTCTTTTCTCCTGTGAGGATTCCATGTTTTCTACTAGAACATTCTTCAGCAACAATGACAACCCACATTGGCCGATGTTTTCTCCTTCCTAACAGGCTGGTCTAAGAAAATTTCACCTCTTTGCGCTGAGGTGACCCAGGGAACTACAGCATGAGGAGAGTTTCGGGATTGGAGTCCTGGGATGCAGGGAGTGGCTGTGTGGTGTAGCATAGAACACCCCCCCCCCCGCCCCCATCTCAAAGTAAGAGAGGGTCTCCTCTGCTGCAGTGCCCCAAAGCGAGGCAGGGGCCTGGTGCGGGCCTGGCCGAGACCACATACCTGTCTGACTTTCCGGTTGGAAAGGACATGCTTTTGTTTCCCACTGACTGTTTCAGTTTTTTGGCTGCAACACAATTCTGAAAAGATAAGAACCATTAAGCTGGTAAGAAGCAGACACAGGAAAGCTTCCCTAACCAGAACAGCTGGCCAGTGGACTGTGGGTTTGAGGCTGCCGTCTGCACACACTGGAAGGCGAGGCTGCCAGGCTGAATGGGGCCAGAACAGCTCCATATACTAGCGTGCAGCCTTCAGCCTTCCCTGGCATGGACCTTGGTGGGGCACATGTGAGGGGGAACTTTGCCTGTGACTTGGATCCCCACAGCAGTGAACAGTAACACCTATTAACCTCATGGCAGCGTTGATGGCCCCTGGGTTTCAACTGCAGGGAGAGCTGATGGGTCCTGTCTGTGCTTGGGAGAAGACACAAAGAGAAAGGACCCCAGACAGATCACCTCGGCAGAGGGAGAGGTCACACATGAGCACAGCAAGAATGTGAGCACGCTGCAGGGACGATTCTTTTTGTTTCACAGGGCTGGGGATGAAAGCCAAGGCCCTGTACTAGCATGCTGAGCAAGCGCTCTGCTGCGGAGCTACCTCCAGCCCCTCAGCGGCATTTCCTACCTTGCCAGCCGAGGCCTGCTTGTTCGGGTCAAAGTGGGAGGAAGGTTTCGGTTTGCTGTCTCCTGAAAGGTAAGCGTCGGGAGAGAGTGCGTCACTGAGTTGACACATACAACAGGCTCACGGTGTGGCAGAGGCCCGAAAGTCCATCTGCTACCTTCTGTACAATGATACGCATTTGTGTTAAGTTCCAGCAGCTCTGAGCAGCCCGAGACCAGGTCATTTCCCACAGATGTGTTCCTGGGAAGTGGCCACTTTCACAGCAAGGTGATCTGATGCCAGTGTCAGACACGGCTGGAAGCACCACTCCTGAGAAAGTTCTCTTGTGTGGACCATCCTGCCCCGAGTCCTCACTTCTCCGGAGGGCTTGAGTCAGGATCGTCATGTGTGCCTTCAGGGGAGATGGGCTCCCCTGGCTGGAGCTGCAGGACCGGCCTCATGGGCTTCGGGGCTTCCAACACACAAGACCTCACGGTGTGTGTGCCAGGGTGAAGGAAGGAACGTGTTTCTGGGCACAGTGACCATGAAGGGGAAGAACCCACTGGTCACACGGAAGGCAGCCTGCTGAGCCGCCACAATGGCTACTGACATCTCCAGGGGACGACAGGGCCTCTGTCCGTGTCACCTGTCAGGCCCCCTTCCTGCCACAGCCTCCTCCGCCTCCCAGGGCCAGAGTCCCCTCTGCAGCCCTAGTCGGCTCCTCACCAGCAAAAGCCTTGAAGTTTGACTGGCTGTAGTCATAAGGGGTGAAATCTTTCTCTGGTGGACCTGGGTCCTTTGGCTTCTTGGAAATCTTGAGTCGTTTCTTCTCCTGTTTCTGTTCCATGGTTCTTGGGTCACTTGTTGTTCGTTCTCTTTTCTTGGCAGCATTTTCTAGCTGCAGGGAGAACAGACCCGGGGAGGGAAGCACAGAAATTTGTGGGATTAGAAGACCCTACTGCCTCTAGCACAGGGAAAGCCTTACCTGAGATGCCTGAGGCAACTGGGGTTTAGATTTTGGATTTTTGGGGTTCAAGTATAACTTAATGAAGAATGTTGGGATGGGACCCAGGCCAGAATTCCATTACGTTTCATATGTCCTTGTACAACAGCCAGAAAGTTTCTTATACAATCTAATGGTTGTGTGCATCAGATGATGCTGCACAATCTTCTACTTGTGGTGTCGTGTTGGTGCTCATGGAACATTGCAGATTTTGGATAGCAGATGAGGGAGGCTCAATCTGCTTTAGCTGGGGACTTGGCTGCCCGTGTCACATGCAAGTCATGAATTACAGTGTGCAGAGAGGGGCGATTGCTGAGCAAGCGGCAACTTCGGACCTTGTGCAGGTACTGGAACAAGTTCCTAACTGGACAGTGCATCAGCCACTTAAGGAAGACAGGGTTAGCTGTGCATGATGGTGTGTGCCTGTAGTCCCAGCACTCGGAAGGCTGAGGCAGGAGGATTGTGGTGAGTTTGGAGCCAGCCTGGGCTACATAGTGAGACGCTGTCTCAAAGAAACCCCAAAAGAATTCCTGAGAGTTCTGGGGTGGTGAGGATGAAATGAGCTCAGGGCACAGTGGCACAGGAGACAGGCCCCCGCCTGGTCTGTTACCATGCCATAGTCAAGTAAACACAGTGAAAGCAAGCATCCAGGGAGATCGTCTAGGGGAGAAGGAGGGTCAGCTTGGGGAGGGGAGAGGGGCAGGCACTGGTGGGCCAGCCTTAGCTGGGGCAAAGGGGACGCCTCAACTCCCCCGCTTCAGACAGCCAAAGGGAGTCCTGACTATGACCAGGGCCATCCTGTTTCTGCAAACAGAAAAGGCAGCACGTACCGCAGCCTGCTGTCGCACGGAGATGGCCTGCTCCAGTGTGGCTCTGTACTCTTCCTTTGCCTGTTCCCGGGTGGCTGTAAGACAGAAGTGTCTGTGGAGTGGGCCCCACAAGGCCCTGCAGGTGAGCACCAGTGCCTTCCCACCTCCACCTGCATGTGCGAATTGGGGTCCTCACCCACCCATTCCTCTGTCCCTGACAATGTTCAGCAGGGGTCACGACCCTCTATACCAAGGGCTGAACTAAAACCTGTCCCCTTGAGCCAGCTCCTGTGCCGGCCCCTCTGCCAAGGACAACTCCATCCTCCAGCTGCTCAGGACTGAACACTGTGGTGAGGCTCCTTCCCTCCTCTCATCTGGCACACCCAACTCCCCAACTTGATGCCATCCTCACTGCAGGATGCAGCCAGGCTGACAGCTCCTTCCCACCTGCTCCCTGCCCAGCACGCTCCACCCACGGCCCTGGGACTGCTCTTTCCCTTGGTCACGGAGGGGCTCTGCTCAACAACGTGATGATCAGACACCTCCTCAGCACCCTACCACAGCCCACGCCCAAGCACCCTGCACCCCTCTGCCTGCATAGTGTCTTCTGGCTTGGACAGCACGGCGGGTGCTGGTTCACTGCCCACCCTCTCCCCCCCAGCAGGGCCGCTCCCTGGTGATTCTGCCAGCAGCCGAGTGATGCAAGGGCCAAGGGCTGCCCTTTAAAAGGTACCAAAGAAGAAACCAAAAACAAAAATGCTGCATTCAGAGCTACCTGTCTGCTCAGCTACCTTCTTCTTGGCAATTTCTTTAGCTTCTTTCTGTACCAGGACCTGGCTGGCCAGCTTCCAACGATTGCTGATCTGTAATGAAAACAGACACGACAGAAACTCCAGAGCTCTGCTACTCAGGAGTGCCTGATGTGTAAGGAGGCAACAGAGGGCTCGCTAACCTAGTAACTCACACATCCTCAGCCACCAGTTCCAAACCTAAGGACACAACAGCAAATCTCCTGGCTTCATTTCTAAAATCCTTCCTGAGCAGGACAGAGTACAGCTGTACTGTGGGCACTGGGCTGCAGACTTTCACAGCCAGCATCTCATTCAACCCCCTCTGTAACCCTGGACAATGGCACCACTGTCCCCTTCCCTAGATGAGGAGGGAGCTTGGCATGGTGATGCCTGCCTGTACTGGGGAGCACTGGGGAGGCTGATGCAGGAGGACTGCACAATAGAGCCCAGGCCAGATAATTTAGCAACTTAGTGAGGTCCTGTCTCAAGATAAAAGGGCTGGGGATGCAGCTCAATGCAAAGGCTGGGTTCAATCCCCAATACCACCACCAAAAACCAAAAAAACAAAAAACCCCCTCAAAAACTAAAGAGAGATGAGGAAACAGGCCAGGGAGGCTGGGTAACTTGCTCAGGGACACGGTCAGTAAATGGAGGAGCTGGGACTCCAGGAAGGAACTTCCCCAAGTCCAGTGTGCTTCTCAGCACCCACTCTCAGCTGTGGCAGTGGAGAACATCAGGGTGATCTGCAAGGAGCAAGGAAGCCACGAGCAGCCATCAGGTGCCTGGGCCGGGGCAGGGGAAGGCAGACCCCACTCATTTCTGGGACACAGGGCCAGCCCTCCGCAGCAGGGCTGAGGTGTGTCAAGGTGCCGCTGAATGGCAGCCACGCTTGCCATCCTGGTCACCAGAGCAGACCCTTCTTGTGGGGAGGAAGGTGGCTTCCAGGAACCGGGCAGGGACCCAAGGGAAGGGCATTTGCATTCACAGAGCTGCTGAAAACAAATGCAAGAGTGGAAGACACGGTGTGCAAAACTCAAGCTGTCAGCTCTAGAAGCCTCGAAGTGACACACACAGGCAGAAACGCATCAAGTTGTGCATTTAAGGTTGTGCATTTTATTACATATAAATAAACCTCAATTAAAAACCACAAAGCAAACTCCCCCCCCCGCCCCAGTGTTGGGGACAGATCTCACACATGCTAGGCTGGTGCGCTACTGCTGAGCTCCACGCAAGCCCCAAACCTGTCTCCCACGAGGCTTCCACGTGCTTCTGAGAAGGCTCCGCCCCTTCCTAAAGCAATGGTGAGGCAGGGCCTCTCCTTCATGTCCAGGGGCCACAGAGAGTCCCCGACATGCAGCCTGGCTAAGACAGAAACCTGGTTCAAAGAAGTAAGACGTCCCCTTTCCTTAGACAGGGTGTCCAGTCCACTTACTTCATAGATTTTCGAGGATGGATCAAACTTTGCTGCCTGGGAGATGTGGGCCCGGTGCTCTAGCGAAGGCAGGAACTACAGAAGGGAACACCATGGAAACTGCTGAGAGGCAGCCTGGGACCCAGTTGGGGCCTGCAGACAGCTGAACTCAGAGTCCCATCTGGACACCGGGGATGACAGACCCACGGGCTTTGGGCTTGTCCTCTCCAAAGACTCATGGCTGCTCTCAGGTAAGAGGGACAGAGAGCGAGGGCATCTCTGCAGGCGTGGGGATCTACAGCAGCTACTCACCATCCGGAATGGGTTTTCAAAGGACTCCATGATGTTCTGGGCCTTTTTCTGTGCGACTGTTAATGGAGTCTTTCCATTTTCCTCAGCACTGGGTTCCTGCTGGGACAGACAAAAACTCGTCACTTACAGTCACGATCATGTCGTGACATTAGCATGCCAGCCAGGCCATTGAGAGTAATGCGGACAACAGCAGCTACGCATTAAGCTCTCCTGTGGACAAGGTCCTGTGCCTGTAACAGCACACCATAGGTGCGGATCAGTGTGCCACTCTGCCCACTACTCTCTCCATCTGACAGCTGCTTACTCTGGGTCAGAGAGGTCATGGAAATCTTGCAGAGCCTTATAGCTAATGGGGCAGAACAAGGATTTAAACCCCGATCTGCTTGCGGTTTGAAGTGATGCCTGAAATTGAATATAAGTCTTTATAGGTAATGAATGAAATTCTGTAGCAGAATGTCTGTCCCTAAAATCTGTGCAATCCTTTGTTAGTCTGTAGCTGTGTTCCCTTGTAACACAGGACCCAGGGAGACCACTGCTTCCTCAGGCTGAGCACAGCACGGCCATGTTTATGCCTGCAGTTGTGCTAACACACTTCGTCGCGGAATCACCTTGTGGGCTCTTCGTTAACTCTGTGATCAGGAGGCTGAGCAAGAGGACTGCAAGTTTGAGCCCAGCCTGGGCAACTCAGCGCCTTTGCGAGGCCCTGTCTCAAAATAAAAAATAAAAAGGGCTGGAAATATAACTCAGCACCAAGGCTCTGGTTCAATCCCCAGCACCACAAACAACACAAAGAGCAATCTTCAAACCCTAAACTTCCTACATGGCAGTGGTGATGGTGGTACTGGGGTGTACTAGGCAAGCACTCAGCCACTGAGCTACACTCCCAGCCGGGGATATTTATTTCTGCAGCACTAGGGACTTAAGCCAGGGCCAGGCACATGCTGTAGCACTGAGCTACCCCCCAGCCCCGTACTGGGGAATGAACTCAGGACCTTGTGCTTGCAAGGCAGGCACCACTGAGCTAAATCCCTGGCCCCTCCCCATCTTTTCTTATGAACTGCAGAAGCAAGACCCAATCTAAAGTTATATGATTTAAGTCAGAAATGAACGTGAAGTCCAAGCCAGTACATACTGCAGGTGGCATTCCATCCCCCTGGCTTTGCCTCAACACTGGCATGGTGAGATGGCTGTGATTTTAATTCTATAAACTTCTGTATCTCAGCTTTTTTTTTTTTGGTACCAGGGATCGAATTCGGGACCTTGCGCTTGCAAGGCAGGTGGCAGAACCACTGAGCTAAATCCCTGGCCCTCAGCTTTTAAAAATTATATGCTTTTGGTACTGGGGTTTGAACCCAAGGCCTCAGCTTTTTATTTTTGAGACAAGGTCTTGCTAAGTTATCCAGGCTGGCCTCGAATTTGCAATCTTTCTGCCTCAGCCTCCTGAGTAGTGGGATTACAAGTCTGTGGCATTGCACCTGGCTCCATGCAGCTTTATCACCTGCACATTTAGTACACTTGATACCTGCTCTTATCTAACATGGATAATACTGTTTCTCAGCTCTTTCTGAAAATCACCTCCCCATTCCCTCGCTGCCTGCAGCCCCCCGGCCTCCATCTGTGCATTTTCCTTTTATCTCTGGTTACTTCAGTATGCAGCTGTCCTGACCAGCGGATGCACTCGGACCTTCCTTTTGCAAGAAGTCCAGAGTTCCAATCCCTGGCAGCTTGTGGGGAACAGAGAGCCTAGCCCAGCCCAAGTGAGCCATGCAGATTTTCCAGGATGGGCAGAGCCACTAACAACCTGGAATGCTAGCACCTCTTCTGGGGCCAGGCAACAGGCTCTGCCTGCTGCCCTCTGCCAGCATTGGCTGCCCCTTCCTACAGTGATTCACAGTGTGGGAAGGTTTCCCAGTCTCCTCTTCTTTCCCCAAAGCACCTGTAGATGCTGCTGGACTCGGTCAGGCACACAAAGCCTGGCTCCATGTTCAACAGAGACTCACTGCCCCTGCTGAGCCCCAAGAAGGACCAGCCCTCTGCTGTGGCTGCCTGAAACCCCTGCTCTGCCACCTCAGCCTGTGCTCTCCTTCCTCCAAGCAACCATTCCTTGAAGGTTCCTTCAGGCACAGTGCTCAGGAGATGAGCCTGGCCATGTCCCGCAGTTCGAGACCTCCTCCCCCGATTACTCGCTTTCCCCAACCCTCCGCACACTGCTGCTTTTCCTCTGGCGGTAGTGTCAAAGGTGTGCGCAACCCTTCAGGCAGAGGCCTTTCCATGCCACGGTCTGCAACCCAGGGCCTCACATTCCAGCAAGCGCTCTTCCACTGAGCTGCAGCCCAGCCTCACAGCCTGCTGCATAAACTCGACAGATGTGGACCCAGGGGTCTATCTGTCTCTACACCTCAGTGGAGCTTCCTGCTACTCACATTAAATAGGGTGATGACCGCTGTGGCGAGAAGGGACTGGGTCTCCTCTTTTGGGTCAGTGAAGAGGCTCGCCTGCTTCCGAGCTGGCACAGGCCCTGGAGGTGCGGGAGTCGGCAAGCTCAGAGCTGTACACTAGTGGCCTAGAAAGTGGTCCACCTCCTTCATCGTCCACAGGGAGACCCCCACCTTACCAGCAGTTGGGGTGAGCGGGTGGCCATCCGGAGGGGCATGGGAGCAGTCGTGAGGTCCAAAGAGAATGTTCTCCAGCCTCTGTATCAAAGAGGAACCAGTAGGCCACATGTACACCTTGCACGCAGGCTAGGAGCACTGGGCCAGTGGAGCCAGCCTGGTCCATCAGATGGGTCTGTGCTGGCTCTGACACCCCACCCACCAGGCTGACAGCGGGTGACACTGTACCTCAACACCTGGCAGTGGTCCGCTCTTCTTCACTCCGGCTGCAGTCTCAGACTAGGGAGGAAAGGAGGAGGCTAAGGAAGGAGAAGGCTGTGCAAACTCGACGACACGCACGTTCCCTCTGCAGACTGCGCCCTGCCACGAGGAGCCTCTCAAGGGCCCGAGACACCCTCCCCCTTGTCCTCCCATCCTCCCGTCCTCGCTTCAGCGCCTGGCATGGTTATCTGGCGCTCAAGAACACTCAGTGAGAGAAAGAACAGTCTTCAGCACGAGAAGCTCAGCACGGAGGATTCGGGAGTCAGGAAGAGGGCCTTCTCCAGCAGGCACGCACTCTCTCTGCTTGGACAAACTGCATAGCTAGGAAAGACCTTCTGTTTTTTCTTCGGTGGCACAGAGGAAGGAACTTCATGCTCCCTTGCACATGATGGGAAGCACTCTACCACTGAGCTACCCCCAGCCCAGGAAGATATGTTAACATCTCTTTCTGTCTCAAAGACTACAGATGTCTTTATTCTCAGATGATTCTTTTCTTTTGCTTGTTCTTTTGAGACAGTCTTGCTATATAGCCCAGGCTGGCCTTAAGTTTGCAGCGATCCTCCTGCTCCTCCTGCTGTGACCTCCGGAGTGCTAGGATTACAGCATGTACCATAATGCCTGACTCTCACATGATTCTTTGATTTTGGCTTTCTGGGTCAATAATCTTTCAAAAAATTACTAACATGCCCTGCTACCAACTAAAACTGCTACTGAACCAACCTATTTAAAATTGTTGGAATAAGGGCTGAGGATGTAGCTCAGTGGTACAGCACCTGCCTAGCAAGCACAAGGCCCCGGGTTCAATTCCCAGTACCCCGCCCCCCAAAAGAAAAAAAACCGTCCCACTAAAACACAAACCAAGGAAATACTTACTATACTTTATGGAATAAAAGTGTTGCCCAACTAGTAAAGCCAACTAAAATATTTAAACAAAATAAAAACATACAAACCTAACTGACTACATTACCTGCATAGGATACACACTTGTTTGCCTGTTCCTATGCATTACACAGACAGGTGTCTGCATTTTCAGTGGCATGCCCCACTTTCACCTCAACTTGTCTCAACTTTAGCATCTCCTTCAGAAAGCCGGCTCTTTCTGAATTCCTGTCTTTATCCATGGTTCTCATAGCTTCCCTATCACCTAGGCTTTAAATCTGGAGTGAGCTGGCTGGGCATGCTGGCACATGCTTGTAATCCCAGCAGTCTGGAAGGACTGCAAGTTCAAGCCCAACCCGGGCAATTTAGCCAGGCCGTGTCTCAGAAAAAGGGCTGGGGAGGGCTGGGGATTTAGCTCAGTAGCACTGCACCTGCCTTGAAAGTGCAAGGTCCTGAGTTTGATCCCTGGTACAAAGGGAGGGAGGCAGGGAGGGAGGGAGGGAGGCAGGGAGGGAGGGAGGGAGGGAGGGAGGGAGGCAGGAAGGAAGGAGGAGGGCTGGAGAAACAGCTTAGTGTGAAGGTCCTGGGTTCAACAACAAAGACCATGTGCAGTGAGTGGTCCTAGACTCCACTTTCATTCTCTTTGAACCCATTTGCTGTCTGTAGCACCTCAACAGTACTTAAGTGCTCAAAACCAACTGACAGGCCTTTCCATCATGTTCCCAAGTCCCCTCTTCTCACGCTTCCTGTGCTCGTCCCTTCCATTCTCTGACCATCACGTGCACTTGGCACTTGCTTCTCATGTGGCCCGCTGCCAGGCTTCCAGTGCATGCTCCCTGTGCTGAGAGCCCAACTCCACCTCACTCTGCCACAGTAACTGCTTTGTGGCCACAGTGAACTGGGCCAGTTACTAGATAGTCATACATGCCGCCGGACCATCAACAATAAGGTCATGAAGTAAGAAGGATGAGTTTTAGCTCTTGCTCTTGACCATCGTAAAGAAAATGAAAGGGCTGGAGTTGTAGCTCAGTAGCAAAGCATGCGCAAGGCCCTCGGTTCAACTGGCAGCACCACGCCACTAAAGAAGACCCACTCACTGGATTTCCAACTTCTCGCCTCCTCTGGGTTGTGTAGGACAGAGAGGAGCTCATGGACACAAGAGACCCTGAGTCAAAGTGCTGGCAGAGAGAACTGGCCTGTCGGGTCAGGGCCTTGAAGCAGACGTGTTAGCCTCTTACCTTGAGCAGGGGCATCTCTCGAGCCTGCTGGATTAGAAGGTGCATTTCATTGATCTGCTGTCGTACAAGAGGCGGTACTGGGTTGCAGCAAGCTATGATGCCCTGAGGTTCCCTGAAGACAAGGACACATCCTACTCACTACAGAAACACAGCCCTTAAAGGCTCCTGACAAGAGTGACTGAGCTCCTGAGCGGCTGAGGTAGGAGGATCGGAAGTGTGAGCCCAACCTGGGGACTTAGTGACGTGGTCAGATCCTGTTTCAAAATATGTAAAAAATAAAAAGGGCTGGGGATGTAGCTCAGTGTGAAGGCCCTGGGTTCAATCTCCCAGTACTGGGGGGAACAAATGACTGGACTGTGAAGGGCTCCACGGCTAAGCTGCAGACCTGGAAAACCAATTATGTCAAAGCAGCCTAGGGCAGGCACCCACACTCAGGGCAGCAGAGTGCACTGAGCCTGACTCTGCCAATAGGCAGGGGTGGGGATGAGCACGCAGCCCCACTGACCCTCAATTCTGCAGCAGGCCCAACAGACTACAGATATGGTTCCTGCTTATGCTTCAACTCACGTCACGAAACACTTAAAATCACCAGACCTTCACCTCCCTCTCTAAGTGGCTGGCAGAGGCTCGGAGACTGACGCTGAACTTAAGGGATAATCACTAGGACTTCTCACTTCAGAGGTGTCAGTGCTCACACGGCAGCCCTTGGATAGACACTTGGGACTTTGTGCACTTCAACCTTCTGAGCCTGGAGGACTAAACTCTTAGAACACAGCCTGAGGGGCAGCAGTCAGCAGGGCCTGATCTGTAGGTCAGGAGATCTACCAAGGAAGTCAGAGTCAGCTCTTAGACTCACTTAGGCAGCTCCTCAGCGATCTTGAGCATCATATGGTTTGGCAGAACATATCTGGAACAAAACACAACAGAAGCACATGAAAATTCAGCCAGCAAGTTCCATTCAGTGCTACGACATTGGGTGGGTGGGTGAACCAGCCTTCATGGCCCAAGGAAAAAAGTCCCTCTTTCCTGTTAGCAGACCTGCTTAGCTGAGAAGCAAGTGTCAAAGGATTCTCAAGTCCCTTACCCAAAGCTCTCATCCTCCCTGCGAGCTGTCTTGTCCCTCCAGGAAAAAAGCAGCTGGAAGGCTGTCAGCTGCTGCGAATTGAGATGCTTCTTTTGCTTCCGGTACAATTCAAGATAGGACTCATCTGTGAAGATAGGTTTGACGAATTTCTGCAAAACACAGAACATTCAAGATCAGTGGAACTGAAACTGTGCTGCAGGTTCTTGAAAACATCTGTCTCTTGTCAGAGATCTAAGGAGCACAGGTAAGAGCTAGAGCCTAGTCAGACCCGGAGAACTTTCCTGCTGGGGTTCATGTGGCCCTGGAGGCTGTACCTTGAGGCAGATGTCCCTGCTCCGCTGCCACACTGCCTGCAGCTGGGTGGGCTGCTCGTTGCCTCGCTCCCACAGCTCCAGCCTCATCTTGTCATAGATGTACAGCAGGTAATGGGTGTCGTCCCGGGCGTAGCTGAGCATTTCCTCTGGTAGAGGCCTGAAATTGCAGCACAGGATGTGGCTTCAGTGTCCCACGGACAGCAATCCTGCCTATCTACCTGGTGGGTGCGAGGACTTTCTGGACCCATCTGATTTCTGCGATTGTTTCACAGCTAGTACTCTGGCTGTAGGGACGTGTCCTACATCAAACTGTTACTGCAGTAGCAGGTGGAGGGGAAGGCAGGGTGACGATGTGGTTACAATGAGGCCACTGCAAGTCCCAGGATTAACTTTTAGCCCCACTCATCTGCTCTTGGGCAAGTTCCTTCTCTGAGCATCACTGGCCTCCCCTGTGAAATGGTGACAAGCATTTCACAGGTTGGTGTGAAGATGACACAGGACAACAGCCTGGAAGAACTCAGGGCTCAATAGCAGGGACTGATCTTCAGAAAACGAATACATTTTCTTCTTGTATTTGGACAATTCCCTACCCCACCCGCCACCCCGAACTGGGCATTGAACCTATGGAGTACTGAGTGACATCCCAGGCTTTAAAATACTTTAAATTTTGAGACAAGTTCTCGCTAAGTTGCCAGAATGGGGGCCAGGGATTTAGCTCGGTTTCGCTGCCTGCTGTGCAAGCGCAAGGACCGGAGTTCGATTCCCGGTACCCCCCCCCCCAGAAAAGTTGCCAGAATGGGCTGGAACTTGTGATCTTCCTGCCTCAGCCTCCCAAGTAGCTGAGATTTCAGGTACATACCACTGCACCTGGCTCTATTACATTTAAAATCTATCATTATTATTGTTAGCAGTTCTGTGCACTGAACCTAGGGTTTTCACACTCAACTACATCTCTAGCCCCTTTAATAAATTTTTATTTTAATACAGGGTCTCACTAAATCACAAAGTTGCCCAGGGTGGGCTTGAACTCATGAACCTCTTGCTTCAACCTCCTAGAGTGCTGGGATTACAGGCATGTGCCACCACATCTGGCTTATTTTTCCTGTTTAGAAACCCTGGCTTGTGGAGATGGAGAAAAGCCCAGCGGCAGGTTCGCAGGACACTACAGCCCAGGGAGGTAGCCAGGCCCTGAAAGTGCTGAGCTGGGCAAGGCTTCCCAAGTGTGACAGGCTTGTGCAACAGCAAACACAAATGCCAAACCCAAGTTACAGCGCACCCTGGGCTTCTTGCACACATCCAACCATCCCTGCCAGAGAACCAAGCTGCCCACAAGCAGGCTGAGGGTAACAGAGTCAGCCCTACATAAACTCCACATTGCCACCTTAAGACTTCCTACTGCTTCTGTGCTACAGAGAACACCTGGAGAGAAGCCCGGCACCATTCATCCCAAGGTTCAAATAGGGCTGCAGCCTGAACAGGGGTCTCCATGCTGAGAGGTTAACGGACTGCCAGGCTTTCTTCTGCCACCCACACTTCCTCATCAAGTGCAACTGACCGTATCCTCCAGTCTGCCAGCTGGTACTGCTTGTTGGACTCCACGCCACAGTAGAGTCTCAGCAGGTAGTCGAGCGAGTGCCTGCCCAGGTTGAGGAGGCGCGCAGCCTGATGGGTATCAAACATGTTCACCACGTACAACCCAAAGTCCTTCTGCAGCCACTCGATGTCAGAATCGGCACCATGGAAGACCTGAAATGACACCAAAGCCATGTGGTACTGTACCAGGAGAAGGCACTCATCTCTCAGTTACCTCTGCCTCCAGGTTGTCTAAATACTGAATGGAAGCGGAATGAGAGTAAGACGCATGTAGTTTATTTTTTTCTTTCTGGTACCAGCAATCAAACTCTAGACCTTGCACTTGCCAGGCAGGCACAGCAAGATGCATATAGCTTTATTTATTTATTTTTGGTACTGGGGATTGAACTTGGGTCCTTGCGCTTGCAAGGCAAGCTACGGAACCACTGAGCTAAGTCCCCACCCCAAGATGCGTATAGTTTTAAATGCTTCTTTTAATTTGGGCCACAGCCTTCATCTGTCCTCCTAATTGTACACTGTTCAGGCCTGAAAGTATTACCAGCGAAGGACTAGGGAAGTAGAGCTATTAGCTCCAAGAGGGTCCGTGAGTTCAAGTAATCCTGATGGCTGTGGTAGTCAGCGTGATTTAACATGTTTCTGGTGGTAACAGCTATGTCTTAGCTATTCCCATAGCGTTTAGAGACCAGCATTTAGCATGTGGAACCTAGGGAGATGGTAAGATCCTCCCAGGTCTACTGGGCCAAGGTGGAAAGCAGGAGTGGTGTGCTGTAAGGACTGGGACCCTCCTCACGGGCAGGCGCTGGGAAAGGCTGGCTGACCTTAACGATGGCGGGATTTGTGAGGCTCTCGTTGAGAATGTACATGTCGCTGCGGAGCTCCAGGGTGTCCACGATGAAGTCTTCTGTTCGAGTGGAAATCTGCATCAGGCAGGTCAGTCCCAAGAAGCTTCTGTAAGAGTGGTGCTAACACACAGGGAAAGTGATGCTATTAGGCTTTCCTTGGCCAACTTGGAGAAGTCAGCTACAGAAAAGCTAATGATTAACTAGTAACAAAGAACAGATTGAAATCAGTACTAGCTTGGGCCGGGAAGTAGCTCAGCAGCACAGCACCTGTCTGGCAAGCGTGAGGTTCTGAGTTCGATCCCCGGTTAAAAAAAAAAAAAAGAAAAAAAAATCAGTGCTAGCTTTATACTTCTCAGGTAGGTGAGCTCATAGAAAACGTAAAATTCCCACTCCAGGTCAATCACAAGATACCTCCAAGTCTACAGCAAATTCTTCACAATTTAAGAGCTTCTCATTGAGTTCCACAAGTTCATCCAGGGAGGACACAAAGTGGCAGGGAGTTTCTTCCACAGGTCTGTGTAACTGGAGAGACAGTAAGCACAGTGAGGAAAAGGCAACACTCAAAACCATCCCCTCTGCAGTACAAAGTGAATTATGCCTCCAAGAAACAGACTGAAGTCCCAATGCTCTACTTATAGACACTCAAGGAATGTCAGACTTACAGCAAGTAATGTACTGATTTCCCTCTTCCCAGGCTCCTCAGATAACCTTCAGTGAAGGCTGGGCACTCACCTGGGGTTGTGGCTTTTGCAGCACTGAAGCTGGTGGAGTAAAGTGATCTAGTTCATACTGATAAGGATGTGCAAACCTGAATGAATAAAACAAACAGAGATCTCCTTAGTTCCACAATTCATAGGAAAAACTATCACTCTGATTAGATTTGTAAAAACAAGTGAGGAAAGACAGGCCACTATGAAAATCTCTTTATAATATGAAGCTATTGCAATGTTTATTCAAGTGCATCAAATAAATCCGCTGATACCTGACTACCCCCACAGTGTAATACTCAGAAGGCTGTTCATCTATTTAGAAAGAGCTGAATACCCAGGCAGCTTTATAAAAATTTTTTTTTGTTTTATTTTTGGTTTTTGAGTCAAGGTCTCGCTATGAGGTTCTGACTGGCCTTGAACTCGTGACTTTCCTGTTTCAGCCTCCCGAATGCTGGGATTACAGGAATACTCCACCAGGCCCTGCAGCTTTATAAACATTTGAATACTTATTTGCAAAACACTGTATGGATGGTGCTGTGGATGATATAAAAATGATAAAATGAGCCAAGCCTGGCATGTACCCCTGTAATTCCAGCACTTAGGAGGCTGAGGCAGGAGGATCTCTGAGTTCAAAGCCAGCCTGAACTATATAGTGAGAACTTGTCTAAAAAAAAAAAAAAAAATGTAATACTTTGTGGTTTGGATAACAAATCTGTGAAATTAGAAAGAATGGTACAAGTATTTTGGTTGGCTAGGAGGTAGACGTTAAGTTTTTCTGTTCCTCTGTCCTGTATTTTCATAAAAATCCCAAGTCTGAGCTAGGCACAGGGGTGCATGCCTGTTATCCCAGCACTAGGAGGCTGAGGCAGGAGGACAGCAAGTTGGAGCCAAACCTGGGCAACCTAGTGAGACCCTCTTTCAAAATAAAAAATGGGCTGGGGATGTAGAACAGTGCAAAGGTCCTGGGTTCAATCTCCAGTACCACAAAAGAGAGAAAAAACCCCAAACAATCCTGTGTCTTTGGTGAGTTCCTTGAGGGCAGTGTCACCTTTCACTGCCTTTACTTTCCTAGCACTTGGGCTATGAAGGGATGAGGATTTAGCTCAGCGGTGCTGTGCCTGCCTGGCAAGTACAAGGTCCTGACTTAGATTCCTGGTACCAAAAAAACAAACAAACAAACAAAAAAACCAGAGAAGAAAAAACCCCAAAACCTTGGTCTATGACCTCATAATGCAGAGCCGGGCCAAAGGAATGAATACTCCAATAGATGGACTATGTGGAGAAAATGACCAATATTAGTGATTCTGTTTTGTTTTGATTTTTTTTTGGTACCAGGGATCGAACTTGGGACCTTGTGCTTGCGAGGCAGGCACCAGAACCATTGAGCTAAATCCCTGGCCCCACCATTTGTAATCTCTCCCATGTTCTTTTTTAAATTTTTTTTGGTACCAGGGATCGAACTCAGGTCCTTGCGCTTGCGTAGCAGGGGTCGAAACCACTGAGCTAAATCCCCGGCCCTGTTTTGATTATTTGACTGGGGATTGAACTCAGGACCTTGTGCTTGTGAGGCAGGTGCGGTGCCACTGAGCTAAATCCCCAGCCCGATTAGCAATTCTTATTCCCTTTTATCATTACACTGAAGTCCGTTTTTTTTTATTTTTGTTGGTGGATCTGGGTGGCAAACCCAGGGCCTTGTACATGCTAAGTGTACATTCTGCCACTGGACTACACCCCACCCTATTTGTCTGTTAAGCAAAGTTTTTCCAGGACATTTATGCTGCGGTGAAAAACCCCTCTTCTCAGTTCATTAGTGAGCTCCTCTTCCTGTCTGAGTCCCCATCTGTGAAGGAAGGCAGAGTGCTAGAGTGGAAGGTAGTTTTAGGAGGACTGGGCTTAAAGTTCTACCATTGTGGGAAGTGAGCATGACTCCTTTTGTTCTTACATCTACGGAAAGAGGTGAGAGTGCCTGCCACCTCTGGGAACTGCTGTGAGGGTTACGAGGGACACTACTGTGAAGGCCACTGGAGAACACAGCAGGAGACTCGAATGAGACCCGCTAAGGACAAGGTGAAAAACCACTTGCTCCCCAGGCTCTTTCTCGAACACATTTTATAAATGTGAAGAAACTGAGTGCAAATGCAGCTGAAAGCGGGGTAGGAAGCTCAGACCCAGGCACACTTACATGTCCTGTTCAATCTGCTGAGTTCGTTGCTGATGGATGAAATCTGCTAGGGCAGGGGGCACATCCAAGTCCTCAGGCCGGTCCTGTGGGCATTCTCGCCTTTCTTTAGAGAGAGCTGGAGACCCAAGCAGTGACAAGAACATCATCAGCAAAGGGACGCACACCTTTCTCTTTTCCACCTTCGGAGGGGGTAACAAGCTCCCTGAAGACATGAAGGGGGCAGAGAGACACACCCCCTTTGCTGGCTTTTGCATCAGGCCGAAGGGAAGACTCAAACACAGGACGCGTCTGTACTACGTACCCTGAGGGAGGGGTTTCTGGGCATTGGGCTTGACGAAGATTTTAGGAAGAAATGGGGTGTTGGAATTGTCCATCTTCTCTCGGAACTTGAGCTGAGGTCGGATGATATTTTTTGCATGAAGCAGCCGGAAAGTTTCAGATTTTGCTTTTTTGCCATATTCTCCTGCCTAAGATCAATGTATACAAATATTTTTTAACACAGCAACTTGATGAATTAGAAAAACAAATTGCAATTTCTGTCTTCCTAAGAGACAATAGCCTCCTTCCAAAAGCCATTCCCTGACTCAGATGGCACTGTGTGTGTTTGTGAGAAGAAGTTAGAGCAGGCAGTGACCAGTTCTGTGCCCAATAAGTGAAAATAGAAATGCAAATTAGAACGGGCTGAAGCCCCGCTGTAATGCTCCCAACAGGAGCTCTAGTTAGTCTGGAAAGCCCCTCTCACCTTCCGGTTCCAACTGGACACTATTGTTTTGGGGACCTGAAGGCCTGCAGGGAGGACAGGCTGCTGATGCTTATTCACACCTGATGCTTCATCCAGTAAAATACCCTAAAAGGAGAAGAGGCCTTAGGTTACTGTCTTCCTTTCAAGGTTAACAGAACTAATTACTTGACCAAAAAAAAGAAAAAAAAGAATTGTGTGTAAGAGTATACATACACATGAATGGCTCAGTGACTATATCAAAACATGCTATACACCAGAAATGTTAAAAAAATTAAAAATTAAACATTTTTATTAGTATATGTTTGTACTACATAATGATTATATTCTTTGTGGAGAGTTGGTACATAACATATCACTAGGCTGGGTTTAATGGTGCACATGTGCCTGTAATCCCAGCATTTGGGAGGCTGAGGCAGGAGGATCACCATGAGTTTGAGGGCAGCCTGGGCCACATAGTGAGTTCAAAGCCAGAATGAAATACATAGCAGGACCCGTCTCAAAAAACAAAAAAGTGCACATCACTATATGAGACGTAATTAGAGAGTCATGCCAAGCAATAAAGCATAATGTGCTCAAAGGCAGGTAGAGCAATAATCACTTACTCCCAACTATGACTGACTATAGCTTAGAACTGGGCTGAAAATTCAAATATGATTTAATAGTGTGATGTGGCCACTAAAGTAAGGAAAGAAGACTGTCTATGATTGAAGTATAGACACAGAGGGAATAGGGATGTGGCTTGTGATAGTGCCTGCCTAGCAATGGACAGAGCACTGGGTTTATTCCTGGCAGAGGGGGACAACTGAAGCAGTGCAGTGCTTAGAATGAGAACACAGGTCATCCTGGTTGGTCTTCAGTGTGGAGTACCAGTTTGCAGTGTGGAGTACCAGTTTGGGCGCACACAGGTGACAGACGACAGTATGGTAGGCCTTGAAATCAGACAATAGGAGAAACCACTGCAAGAATGTGTTGGGCATCAGACTTGGAAAAGGGGACTTCACAGGATAGGAGAGCACAATTTCACCATCTCCAGGGCTGTCACTGATGGAAGGTTAGATTTATTCTGGATGATCTCTGTCTAATTCTGTAAGTAATGTTCTGCTATGGAATCAGGAATAAATTGATAATAAGCTAGACAGAGTAATATACTACTCTTTCTGTCCTGTGGGGTGGGGTGTTTGGCACATCGTGTGTGAATAACAGTAAGAACAGTCTAAATTTTGGCTGGGAAGGTAGAGGCCTCTTCTAAAAAAATAGAATATGCAAATCAGGAAGGTAGATTACTTAAATAGGCTTCCACAGGAAGTAATTTTTTTTTCTTTTGAGACAGTGTCTTGCTATGTAGCCCCAGCTGGTCTTGAACTCACTATGTAGCCCAGGCTGGCCTTGGACTCGAAGTGATCCTCCTGCCTCAGCTTCCTGGAATGCTGGGATTACAGGGGTGTGCCATAATGCCCAGCTTTTTTTTCTTTTTAAGAGCAGTGATATTTTGAAGACAATCATAGTTCACTTTTAAGCAAAAAGCTGCTGGCTATCAGAAGGAAATGTTATGACTGGTAAGAAATGCTAAACTTGGGCCGAGGATTTAGTTCAGTGGTTTCAGTGACTGCCTTGCAAGCGCAAGGTCCCTGAGTTCAATCCCTGGTACCAAAAAATAAAGTAAAATAAAATAAAATAAAGTGCTTGAGTTTCTCTTTATATTTTAATATAAAAAAGCTCTTTGTTAATTCACATAAGTGTATGGTAAAATACTCACCACTCTCTCCAGAATCACATCATTGGTATCAACTAGTAAATCAAACTTATCCTCCAACTCAGTCACTTTACTTCGGTCCTTAATGTTGCTGCGACACCCATGATACTGCATTACTCTGCTCATGCTGAGGAAAGGAAAACCAGGATCAGTCTGGGTACCTTTATTTCATTTGTTGACAATGTGGAAGAAAACTCAAATGGCTGGCTCAGACCATTCCTGGTATTTTTTGATCAACTAACGAAACCTACACCCTCATAGCAACCTTTAAAAACCAATGCCTGGGGCTGGGGACAGATCTCAGGGGTAGAGCATGCACTTAGCATGTTCAAGGCCCTGGGCTCCATCCCCAGCACCAAAAAACAAACACTACCTATATGGCAATGGCAAAGATGAATGTAACCAAGGATAAATACAATTTGTGATTTAAAAAATTTTTTAAAAATAAGTAATACTGCTAATTGTGTGTCCTTGTGCAACTCATTACATCTTGCTAAGACTCACTTTCCTTATCTGATAACTGAAGGGAGATATTACCTCAAAGCTTCTTTAACTTCTATAAAAATATATGATGCTATGTAAAAAATTAGACTGGAGTTTTTCCCCCTAGTACTAAAGATTGAACCCAGGGCCTTTGCACTGAGCTACATCCAAGCCCTTTTTTATTTTGAGACAAGGTTGTGGTAAATTGCCCACCCTGAGCTTAAACTTTCAATCCTCTTGCCTAAGCCTCCAAGAGTGCTAGGATTACAGGCATGTGTCACCAAGCCTGGCTGCATTCATCATTTAGCATGGCAAATTTAAAGAGTTTCTCTAATTCTGTCATGTGACAGTTAAACAAAATTAGTTTGTGTATTATCTGTCCTAATACCTCTATTTTCAAGTCCCATATATATATATTTTTGGTACCAGGAATCGAACTCCGGTCCTTGAGCTTTCGAGGCAGGCGGTGGAACCACTGAGCTAAATCCCCGGCCCTCCCATATTGTTTTTTAAGACAGGATCTCACTATGTAGTCCAGGCTGCCCTTAAATATATAGCAATCCTCCTGCCTCAGCCTCCCAAATGCTGGGATGATAGAAATGTGCCATCATGCCTGGCAAGTCCCTATTAATTTAAAAGTATTTGTTATAGATGAGTGCAGTGGCACATGCCTGTAATCCCAGCTACTCAGGAAGCTGAGGCAGGAGGATTGCAAAAGAGACCACAGCCTGGGCAACTTAGCAAGACCCTGTTTCAAAACAAAAAAAGAAAAGGGCTGGGATGTGGCTCAGTGGCAGAACCCTTGCCTAGCATGTGTGAGCCCTTGGGTTCAATCCCGTACTGCACAAGAATTTGTCGCCCGTAAATGAAAAGTTGGTATATTTTTTAAAAAACTAAAAATTTACCAAGTAATATTTTCCAAACAATAATCATTTTCAGATTTTATTGTTCTTTATAGCACAGAAAATTACAACTTTGGAAAAACACTTCAGGAAAAAATTATCCACCTATTTTCATTTCTTTCATTACTACAAGAAGACTACATGGTACGTACCACTGCAGCAACCTGTCTCCCTGTGTTTCACAAAATGCCTGAAAGCCAGGAAAACTTCGGTAAAAGTCATACTCGTCACCAAACTGTGGCAGGCCCCCAGATGCCTTGGTGACTGCCACGACCGACCCAAGAGCAAACTGTAAAAACCAAGAAAAGGTGTTCCGTTTTAAACATGCATCTTCATTCCGTAAATCACTGTTTTGAAGACTGACTATACTTAGTATATAGAATGTGGTGCTAGACAATAAAGACAGTCAATCCGTCCAACATACTTCATTCCTTGTGACTCAACCTCAAGCCCTTTCTGGGCCCTCAGGATTCAATGGTGAGCACAAAACCAAGTTTACGGCTTATATCCTTGGGAGAGTGGGGAGAGAGAAAACAAAAGTGTGTATACAATCATGTGTTCCTTAACAACTAGCAGATGTTCTGAGAAATGCATTATTAAGTGATTCTGAAATCATGTGAACATAGAGTATACAAACTAAGATGGTTATGACATCACTGGCCATGTAATCTTATGGGACCACAATTTTATATGTGCTCTATCATTAATGGAAACATCATTATGCAGTGCATGACTATATAATATGACTAACATTTAAAATAACCTAGATTCGAACCTTGGCTCTGCTACCTATGAACTGAGATTTTGCAGTGCTGGGGATTAAACCCAGAGCCTCATGTGTGCTAGGCAAGTACTCTACCAACTGAGCTACACCCCCAGTTTTGAACTGAGATTTTCAGCAAGCTATATCATTTATTTGGACCTTAGTTTCCGCCTCAGAAAAAAGGGCATAATAAAAAGTGCAAACACTACACGTTGTTGAGAAGATTAAATGGGTTAATAAAATCACTGAGAACAGTGCATGCCACATGAATGCTAATATTATCACTCAAGTTCAGATCCTGAGCGCTCTATAGAAATTTATTGTACCTTTGTGATTTTATCTTGACACACATCTAAAAACAACACATGCATACTCTAGATACTTCAGATGACTAATTTATAACAGTGGATTCAGCTAACACCAAGTAATTCTCTATTTAAATTGTGAGGTAATGAGATAAAACTGGAAGTGGTTTTCATTGTAAAGGGTAGCTGTGGCCAGGCATGGTGGCACATTTGGCCTTCAGGTGACCAGCCATCCTTTGTTTGCTTTTTTGAGACCGGGTCTCACTATGTAGTTCAGGCTGACCTCGAATTCGAGGCTATCCTCCTGCCTCAGCCTCCCACAGAGCTGGGATTAGAGGCCTGCGCCACTGCCAGACTAAATCTTGGTTTACATTTGTTCACATTCAACCTACGTTTTACAAATAATCTAAATGCACTCTGTGTTTCAAGGAGGTATTGGTGAATGTGCTTTGACGTCTGGAGGTGAGGCACTGGGTGGCAGCGGTGACAGGTGACATTTAACCCAGGGGCTTGGGTTGTGGAGGACTGGACCTCAGGCAGAAGCAGAGCTATCTTGGCGGAAGGGCGCCGGGCAGGTGTGGGAAGCACGAAGCAGCCGACCTCTCCCAGAGCTCGCCAGGGGGTTCGGCGGAGGCGAGGTCTCCAGGGCCGGGGACATGTGGTGACAAGGAAGCTCTTCCCAGGACGCGGAGCAGCGGTCCACACAGGGGGTTCCGCGAGCCTCACCGGCGGCGGCGGGCGTCCCCGAGAGCCGCGGCCCCGGCTCCGCACGGCGGCCACCCTCACCCTCATCCCGGGCCAGGTTCTTGTAGTGCGCGGCGGCCGCCGAAGCCCAATACTCTGGGCCAGTCGGGGCCCCCGGTGTCCTCGAGAACGAACTCACCTTCACGAAGCTGTCCGCGTCCGGGAAGCCCGGCAGCACCATCTCGCCGTCGGGTTTGGTAGCGCTGGGCGCCGCCTGGGCCTTGGACTCCCGGGGACTGGAGAGCGCCATCTTTCCGGCCGGCGAGGCTCTTCTCGCGAGAGTCTGCGGCGCGAGGCGTGCGCACCACGCATGTGCGAGCTGCCCGGAGGTGGTTTGGGGCTTTCTCAGTCTTGAGCGGCGTAGAGGGCAACTTTACGTTTTTCAGTAATCTCACTGTGTGTCATCCTACTAACTCGGTGGCCGGGGTGGGACCTGGAGGACCCAGTTCTCCGCACATTGAACGCCAGCACCTCCTTTTCCCGTCTAGTGTCCGGACTTCCCCTTTACAACAGCCTCCAGGCAGCCTGATGTGATGGTGCAATTTAAGGAGTTCCTCACTTTACACCCACACGACCATTCTGTTTTTCACTCAGAATGGGATTCAAAAAAATACATGGGCTAGCAAATGCTTTATTATAAAAAAAGCTTTGTCTGAACACGATGGTACACACCTGTAACCCCAGCACTGGGGAGTCCGAGGCCAGCCTGGGTTACATGGTGAGTTCAAGTCCAGCCTGAAATACATAGCGCGACTCTTTGTCTCAAAAAATCAAAACAAAGAAAAGTATTTGTTAGTAGGTAGCTGTGGACCAAAGGAATATAGAAAAAATACTTCACCTGAGGGGTTTTTTTGGAAGAATATTTTAGGCATGCCTTCACTTTAGAAGGAGCCTATGGCTGGGAGAGTGGATCAGTGGCAGAGCACTGCTTGACTAGCATGTGTGAAGCCCTGGGTTTCATCCTCCACTACGAAATGTAAAAATCATATCTATCAATCATTTATCATCTACCTACCTACCTAGACTCCCAGTTTCACTTCCTGTTCCCTGGCATCTAAGTTTCTTTCCATTTGTTTGACACCAGTTGTCTCTAAAAACACGACTCAGCCAGCCTCCTCCTGTGTCAGAGCTTCACGCCACTGAACTGAGGCGAGCCCTGCCCGACTTTCCAGGCTTCTGTTCCTGTTATTTTTCCCCTTGTTTCTTTTATCCCTCGATGGCTATCGAAGCAGACACGCTGAATTGTGATGTGTGACCACAGGAGGCGGCCAATCCTGTGTGTCCTGGTGGTCCGGGACCCCTCTGCCAGATGTTGCACTGCTTCCCTCAGTGCCTGTGTCCCTTGCTGCGAAGAATGTTCCCACTGGCTGCAGCTGACCCCCCCTGCAGACCCATCCCACGTGGCTTCATTCTGGGCCAGTGGTTGACCCATGTATTCGTGGCTCCTCTCCCCACTCCGCAGGTGTTCTCAGAGCACTCTCTTGCTAGGGGGGGCTCCACCCCGTCTGGCCCAGGGCCCCAGGGAAAGGGACCATGAGTCTTACTGTACATCCCTGTGTCCTTCATAGTCCCTAGAACTGAGTGCTTAATGTTGCATGTTGAAGGAATAAATGCTTCTGTTATTATTTTATTTTTATTTTTGCAGTGCTGGGAATCAAGCCCATGGCCCCCGTGCATTCGAGGCAACTCTCTCTTGCTGAGCTGCACCCCCAGCCTAGTGCTTCCTTTTTGAACTAATATTATCAACAAGAAGGTACTCATACAAGTTTTTAAAATTTTGATGTCATTTATTGGCACAAAAATTATTCAGATACAACATGGTGTCTAGACGGGCTACACTTTATACTTGTGCATTTAGCTGGGTATTTATTTGCTCATAATTCCCAATGTGTCCTAACCTGTCGCTCTGTGTTCAGCACCTCCGGGAGGGCAGTTGTGTGCGGAGCCCCTGCTCTAAACACAGAGGGCTCAGACCTCGCTGGGACACTGTGCCACATTCCCTCAGTGTCCGTGTTGGCCAGGGCCTCCTGGCATCTGAACCAGCTCCCTCCTGGCAGTCCAGGGCTTGGGTTGACCTGTGAGTCCCAGCATGACTGGGTCAGGTAACAACAGATCTTCACCGCCTATCTTGGTCCATCCTGCAAATGCTGCCACTGCTGCCGGGGGACCAGTGAGGTAACAGGATGGGTGGGCGGTGACATCAGCTTCTTCCGCTTCTTTCCGGTCCGGGATCCTGATGGAGTCCTCCTCTGCCCCAGCTCTCTGACTGTGCTGTCTGCTGTCCCCACACCGAGCACTGAGAGGAGCGACCTGGGTATTCTTCTGCTGGCAGATGCTCACCAAGAGCTCTGTGAAGTCAAAACCCGTATCTCTAGTTATGGAGCTCCTGTTCCGAACGGCCTGATCTATGTGGTGTGAAAGTGTTTCACGGTCCTGGGAGCCAAATCAAGCCTGTGTTTATGACAGTATCTTCTTCAACAGCAGCTAGAAAGTTGGTTCAAGCCAACTTTCAATATACAGTAGTTCTTTTCATTTACATTTCAAAATATTTAACAGAGTTGAACATTCTGACCATGGTTTCATTTTAGTGGAAGGACAGACCAAGGCCCTGAGGAGATGCCGTGACGTGCCAGGGCTGCCATTACCAGAAGGGACACCTAGGAAGGTGGACAGCAAAGGAAGATTTAGTCATCTGAGATCTACTGAGCTTTACCCAGGTGCTTTAAGAATGGAGCAACCAAGGTCAGACCACCCTCGGCATTTTCTGAGCTCTCTGTCATTAGCCTGACTAATGACTAATCGTGTGGGATGTTCACACTTCATCTCCAGTTGGGGGTGATGCCACCCTGTCCCCCAAGGATGTGTCCCCTCTCAGGTTTCTGCCTCCCAGCATGCCTTGGGTAATGTACACAGCTACCCTGGAGTGGCCCTGGAGGCTCCACTTCCAGATCAGACATTTATGTCTTTCATCTTCCTCTCTATGTCACTGCTCTGGCTTCTTTTCCTGTGCCCTTCCTGTATCTCTAGAGTGACAGCAAAAATCCAGCAGAAGCTGGGCATGGTGGTGCACACCTATAATCCCAGCTCCGGGGAGGCTGAGGCAGAAGGATCACCATAAATTCAAGGCCAGCCGGAACTACATAGCAAGACCCTGTTTCAACCCCTCCCAAAAAAAAACCCCAGCAGAACCTTCATAAACAAATAGCCTTGACTCTTCTAAGCCATCACTCCAAATGCAATCCGAACTTCCAAATAGGCATCCCAGGAGCACGTGTGGTGAATATAAACTTCTCAACAGATCTGAACCCTTAACTGGGCTTTATGGCTACTCCATTTAGTCTTCTCTTATTCTCTGGGTTTGGGGCCTTGGGAAGGGTGCTCACTGATTTTTGGGGGGGGGATTGCATTTAAGGGTGCTTTACTACTGAGCTACACTCCAGCCTTTTTAATTTATTTTGAGACAGGGTCTCACTAAATTGCCCAGTCTGGCCTTGAACTTTCCATCCTCCTGCCTCAGCCTCCACAGTTGCTGGGGTTATAGGCGGGTACCCAGCTCTCACTGCTGATTTTAACAAAGTTGCTTTGTGATGCGCACTCACCAGCCAATGTAGCACTGGCAGAGGTTCTCATGGGATGTTGCTTGTTTGATGAGCAGCTCAACTTGCGTTGGAACATCCAGGGTATCGTCGTGGGAGAAGTCCCGCCCTAAGACGGAGAAACAGGACACCGGATTCTCACCTGTACCGCACACTCCTGTGCCTCCTAAGCCTCACACACAAGTTCAAAGGGTACACCACAGGTGTGTGTGGTCTGACGCATGCTGGTCTTTTGTGTGTGGTACGGGGCGCTGACCCAGGGGCTCGCACTCCTCAGTCCAACCTCCCTGCATAAATCGTGCAAGAGACTTATTTTTTTTGAGACAGGGTTTTTTCTTTTTTTGGTACCGGGGATCGAACTCTGGTCCTTGCCCAGGCAACGAAACCACTGAAGTAAATCCCCAGCCCCAGGATTTTTTTTTTTGGTACTGTGGATCGAACTCGGGTCCTTGCGCTTTCGAGGCAGGTGGCGGAACCACTGAGCTAAATCTCAGCCCAAGACCAGGGTTTTTTTTTTTGAGACAGGGTCTCACCATGTAGTCCAGGCTGGCCTTGAACTTGTGCTGATCCTCCTACCTCAGCCTCCTGAGTGCTGGGATCACAGGCATGTGCCACCACACCTGGCCTTGAGACAGGGTCTTGATGTGTTGCTCAGGCTGGCCTCAAACTCTTGGGCTCATGTGATCCTCCTGCTTCAGCCTCCCAAATAGCTGGGAGTGCAGGCGTGAGCCATCCGGCCCAGCTGACTCAGGAGCTTTAACCTCAGCCCCCACCCCATCTCTTCAGCTGCTCCAGTCTGGCTGTCAGTCTTATCACAACTCTCAGGTGGTCACCACTGACTTGGGCCGTGTCTGATCTTCCCTGTCCTGTCCTTTGATATCAGTCCTTTTGAGCTTTGGTTTCGCCTCAGTGCTGGGGCTGGAGGCCAGTGCCCCATGGGTGCAGGCTCTGTCTCCCGGGGGCCACACCCCAGCCTGGCCCTTCTGAGGTGACTGTGTCTCCTGTGTCACAGGGGACTGCACCTGCCTCATGTTGGGCAGCCTCCTTCATCTGTCCACACAGCCAGAGCCGACAGTAGCTGCCACATAAGTGCTCAGTTGCCTGTCTCCCTCCCCCTGCCACGAAACCCTTCAGGATTCCCCAATGTCCGGATACAGGATGAAAACACGAGGACCCGTGTGCTCTGCCTTGCATCTTGAACTTCGTTCTTGCCAGCCCGCCTTTCCTGGGCAGGTAGGGAGCTGTTCTTGGGCCTTTCCTCTTGGCATCTCTCTCACCACAAGACCCTTACACATGCTGTTCCTCTGCCTAAGTGATGTCCCCCTAGTAAACTCCTTTTTCAGATGCTAGCTCATAGGTTGTTTGTTATTGAAGCTTTTCCTGAACTTCTGAACTAATTACATTCCCTTGTCAGAGGCATCAGAGCTGAGTCTCTTTCTGCCACTTAGTAACAGCGCCCTTTAGATTCTAGCCCCTCAGAGGCAGGGAACCTGTCTGTTTTCACTGGCACAGGTACTTCAGCAGTTAGTGTGGACAGGTGCCCAATAAAGATACCTGAGCGGCATGGCGCAAGCCTGTAATCCCAGCTCTCTGGGAGACTGAGGCAGGAGGATCACAAGTTCAAGATCAGCCTGGGCAACTTAGGGAGACCCAGCCTCAAAATTTAAACAAGGGCTGGGGTTGTAGCTCAGCATGAAGGCCCTGGGTTCAAGCCCCAGCACTACGCGCACACCCAAACACCTTGACTACTAAGGTGACGGGTTCTGACACTCTGTGCCTGCCACCCATGTGTCATTTAACCCTTACTCCCGCTGAGGGGGCTTGTTGTCATCTTCCAGATTTGGTGATGGTCTCAGAGGTGCCCCAGGCAGTGGGGTCTCTGCCCCCCCATCCCTCCCAACAGAAGAAACATGGTCAGGGTGGGGTGCTCCTTCTCAAAAGCATGCACCTCTGTCTTCTCCTCTCTCCACCCTGTGACATCTAAAGACAAGTGACAGTGCCAGCAGTCGGATATGCTCTGCCATCATGCCAAGACAACAAAAGGCATCTGAATCTGGCTGATACTGGAGTCCATTCAGTTCACCAAGGAGTGAGCAGAGCTTAGTTTAACTCTGGGTGATGCCATTGGCTGTCGGCAGGAGGAGGCAGGGGGTGCTCAGGTGCCAGCCCGAGACCTCAGCCAACCGCAGGGCTGCAGCTCGGCACTGACCCTGCCTCAGACAGGATGTTCTGCAGCTTTGGGTCCCTTTCCACGAACAGAAACACACTCACCGGTGAGCTTATCTCGCACCCTGTTAATGATCTGAATAGCCTTCTTGTTTAGGGCTTCTGGTTTCACCAAACCGTCTCCAACTGGAACACACAAAGGGAGAAATAATGGTAAGACCTGGATCAGCACAATGGGTTCAGCGGAGTTGCTGTTTGTGCTGAGCATTCACTGTCGTGAGTGCCAAGCGGTCCTCAAACTGTAGTCATCTGTGTCCTCAGAGTACCCCAGGACTCGGGGCCCTCCTCTCACAAAGGTGGTCCTGTGGCCTCAGCTTGTTGCCCTCATGGGTCCACACAGCTGTTGTTTTCTTAATGAGCAGTTCTTGCAATTCCTGAGGATGAACTTACTGAACGAGTGAATAGATTCTGGCACCGTGGTCCCTGCTTTTTTATGGGCTGGTTCCCCAAGTTCCACACCATCCAAAATTTCTAGGGGGAAAAATATCAGTTAGGAGAGATTCAAACACCAGGAAGCCATTGCTGGTGTGAGCTAACTCTTTCTGCCCCATGCTCCTTTAACACCTGGCCCACTTAGCACCAATGGGAAAGGAAAGAGAGACTATGCCACACGTGATGTAACTTCATCATAACTTTAAATCTGCAAAGCCATTTTCAAATGTGTTATTATTAAAGACTACTGTGCTTAGCAGGATTGAAACATGAATTTTCAAGCAAACAGGAAATGTTCTGGTGTAAAAGCATGGCGCTTGTACCTACAGTTCCAGGCTGAGAGGCTGAGGCAGGATGATTGCTGGGGTCCAGGAGATTGAGGCTAGCTTGGGAAATACCAAATCTCATCTCATCACTTTTTTTTTTTTTTTTTTGCGGTGCTGGAGCTGAACCCAGGCCTCGTGCATGCTAGGCAAGCGCTCTACCACTGAGCCACATGTCTAGCCCTGACATCATCTCTTAAAAAGTTCTGACATGGACCAAGGGAACATTGTCAAAAGCCTGGTGACAAATGTATTTGGTTGGACAAAAACTGATGACTGTGTAAAGAAAATTAGCTCGGCAGTGGGTTCCACGGGGTTGAATGTTATGCTTTGGTCTGCACGCTGATTCTGAGTAAAACAAGTCCTCCACTGCTTCTGGGCTTCAGCAGATAAGTCTGGAATCAGAATCGCGATGTTATCTGAACACTCGCTATCCACAGACCTCCCAAGACCTCGAGGGTAGCGAATAGTGCTTTTATTCATGGCCCTTGGAACTTCACTTTTAGGCTACATGAGAACCAGGTCCATCTGGTGCCACACAACAAGCCCTGGCTCCCCCTGCACACTGCCAGCAGCACACAGGAGTCATGTGACAACGTACGAATGAGGTGGACCCAAGGATGAAACTGGTCTGAGTCAGCACACTGCACACCAGACCAGCCAGCGGCAGAGGGGCTCATGGCTGCAGTTAACGGGAGCCCGGTTCTGTGGGATTCACAATCCTGTCCCAGGGCCGGGACATGCACATCTGTGGGCAGAGCGCTTGTTTCCTTCCTACCTCCAGATCCCACTCATCCACGCAGGACAACGTGCGTCTTTCTGGCTGAGACGGTAAACGCCGCCAGCCCAAGCGCCCCTTAACTGTGAGAGCTTGACATAAAAGCTCCCTCCTGAGCTCTGCTTCAGCACTTCTCTCCCAGACCACAGCACACACGGGCGCTTGACACAGCAGAGTGTGCTGAGGACGGGACCCTGGGGCCTGCATGCTGGGCAGGCATGCCGCCCGGACCTCTCTACCTTACACTTTTTTTTTTTTTTGCCTGGAGGGAGACAGTATTTGGCTTAATTAAGTAACTAGTTGCACATGTCCCATAAATATTTGTAGAGAATATTTACTTTTTACACCCAACAGTATTTCCTGAAGTGTGAACTGTGTGGGATGTTGTTTGATGTTAGGGGGAGGCGGGGAAGGCCAAACAGCCACACCGCTGGCCCTGAACACTTTTGAGAGCTTCAGTAACAACACATGCTGGAGCTCGAGGGGCATTGTCTCCCTGCGACCCTGCCCTATGAAGGATGGTCCTGGAGATAACATTTCATGTGGCTTCGGGGTTCCTCCCAGCAATCAAAATCCATTTCTGCTGCTTCCACTTTCCTATTACGGAGCCATTAATAAAGTTTGAGGGGCTGGGGTGTAGCTGAGTGGGACAGTGTTTGCCTACCATGTGAGAGGGCCTGGGTTTAATGCCCAGTACTACAAAACAATGAAATGCTCGAGGACCAAGACCAAGTATCTTAATAATTACCCCAGCCCAGGCACATAAAGGTCAAGTAAAATACTGGCTGATATCCAGACATACTTTGTTTGCACTGTGTCTGTATAGATAAAGATCAGATAGTTTGATAAAAATTTTGGAGCTTGAAGTACCCACTCCATCCTGTCAGACTGTAAATAAAAGACATACTTTGGTATTTGGGGCTCAGTAAATATTTTAGGCCGTGTTTTTGAAGTTCAATAAATGCCTATTGAGTGATATATTAGCAGTGTAGCCTCTATGCCAGGCTATTACCACCAGGAACCTTGAGGAAAACAAGTTTACTTGCTTCATATTCAGCAGCCAGTACTACTTTGCCTCGCCTCTTGAAGGCACATCAGACTCCCTCCACCTGAGTCCTAGACGCACTCTGGCCTGGGCAATCTCCCTGGGGCTGCCAGAGCTCACCCACCTACTGACTGGCCTGCAGAGTAGGAATCTGTCCTCGTCCGGGACCTCTTGTTGCCTTTGGTATTTGCTAGGGAAAAAAAGAAATGTTATGAAAAAGTGCTTCACATTTTCACTTGAAAGAAACCTGGTAGAGGGAACAAAGGCATTTACTCAGGGGCAAGCAGGGCAGTGAGCACGGGATATGAAATGCAGGGTAGGCTGTGCACAGGAGATCTGGGTTTAGACCAGTAATGGGGAACCTTTAGAGCTTTCAATGATACAAACAGCCTGCTGTAGCACGCGTGCCATAGGTTCGCCACCACTGGTTTAGACTGTAACGAATAATATAAGGTAGAAGTCTGACTCAATCACGGTGGATCAGAAGCCTCTTGTCTACAAAGGATAGACAAACATGTTGCTGTCTCAACTCTCAACTGTGTGTATTTCTTGTTAAAATTCCAGTTTGGGGCCACCCATTTGGGATCCCTCCTGGAAATCCAGGAACTATTCTTCTCTCCTTATTTTCAATAAAACTCTCCTAACTTTAAAAAAAACAAAAGAAAAAAGAAAAAAAGAAATTCCATTTTACTACTTATTATAAAGCCCAAACAAAGTTACTAGGGTAGTTTATCCTGAAAAGTATCTTAATTAATATCTGAGTCAATAGTGGGAGTTTATGTTCTAGCTAATAAAAATATTTGCAATTCCTCTTCAGCCACAGCACTGCTTGGGGAATATAAAGCAGTGTCTCAGGCTCCCGCTCTGAGGGAACGGGTTGGTGGAATCAGGCGTGCTGATCTCTAACTGGGGAGTGTGCCAAGCCTATCCCCGAGCACTCAAGTGATACTCACTGTCCATCAGTCTCCAGTTCAGCAAGGGGTCATAGACGAAGGCTTCCAGCACGGCCATGACGCTGTCCTTGTGTTCCCGAAGCACTTCCATCACTGTGTGGCAGGTGATTCTGTAGTTTCCATCCAGACCTGTTACCTGGAGAAGGCACAGAGCCACACACGCTGGGAGTTACTAACCGTGGTACCCTGGTGCCTTGTGACCAGCAGCAAGAGAGAAGCCATCACCCGCAAGGAGGAAGCAGACCTGGGCCCCTTCTGACTCGTCAGCGTCAGCGGGGACCCTGGCGGGAGGAGGAGGCAGGGTGGGGCTGTGACCCATCTGAGACCAGGTCTGCTGTGAGGTCGTCAGACTTTCAAGACTGTTCCTAGCACAGTGGGCACCCCTGGGGCGCTGCTACAGAAACCGCCTGGGCATTGTGGGAATGAGCAGTTCTGTCAAGCGAGGCTGTCGTCAGAGAAGGCTGTTGCTGTGTTGGTCCCGCGTCAATGCAGCTCGTTCCAACGTACACTCACCTCCATAGCATTGGTCAACATTCTTGTTAGTCTAAATGGAATCTTCTCTGGAAACTTCTCTCGGGTCATAGCAACCTGCAGAGCAAGCAGGGTGAGACCACATCTGTGGTGAGGTGCTTCCTCTAGCTAAAGTGAGCTGAAGACAGGCTGCTGCCTGCATACCTCTCTCACAGTAATTCACACGACAGCAGAGGGAAGCACTTGAGTTCATGAGGGGACCTGAGATTTGATAAATGACTTAGAAAAAAGGACAAGTGTGCACGGCCTAGGCCCTGGGCTCAAAGGCAGCGTGGAGGATGGGGATTCATCCACTCAGAGAGGGTAAATAAAGACTGGGCCAGGCCCTGGGTGTCAGAGTCCAACCACGAGTGCGGGTCTCACTGTGAGCTTGACTTCCCATGTTGCAGGCAGGAAAGGTGGGGAGGGAGGGCGTTTGGGTTATGCTGCCGAAACTACCAGAGAAGAGTGTGCTTTTGGTGGTTTTTCCGGAATGTATGCTCACCTCAAAGCAGTCCCCGAAGTCGATGTGCAGGATCTTCCCACTGAGCCGGTCCAGCATCAGGTTGGATGGGTGCCTGAGGAAGAGGAGAGAGCCGGGGTTACCAGGGCACCACTGATGAATGAATCCAAGGCTGATGCTCCAGAGGTGGACCGGGCAAATGACAGCCCAAAGGTCCGCCTGCCCCACTTGCCTTTGTGAGTCAAGGTATTGTGTTTTTAATTTTGAGACAGGATCTCACCATGCTGCCACAGCCAGTCAAAAACTCTTGGCCACAAAGAACACTCCTGCCTCAGCCTCCCGAGTGCAGGACTACAGCGCCATGACACTACCCCTAGATCCTCAAGTGTTACTGGAAAGTGGCCCCGCTCACTGGATGTTTTGTTTTTTGTTTTTGTTTTTGTTTTGTTTTGGTACCAGGGATCGAACTGAGGACCCTGAGCTTTCAAGGCAAGCGTGGCACCACTGAGCTAAATCCCCAGCCCCCTGTTCACTGCATTTTGAACTGTTTCAAGCTCTTTCATGGTAGGATGGCAGAACTGAGTAGTTCTGACATAGGCCATCTGGCCTCTAAACCCCTAAGTAATTATCATCTAGCCATTTACAGAATTTTCTTGACTTCTGCTATGGAGACGAAATGAGGATTTGTTTTTTGTTTTAGATTTTAGAGATAGGGTCTCACAGTCCAGCCTGGCCTCAGACTTGTGACAATCTTCTTGCCTCAGCCTCCCGACTGCTGGGATTACAGGTGCCCATCACCATGCCCAGCTCCTGAGATGAAGATTTATCTGTGGGAGTCACAGGCTGCCCCACTGTCCAAGAGTTGGCTTTGCCAGTCCTGGGTCACGTGACAGCTTCTAAGGGGGACAAAGCTCTGCCATTGCTACTGAGCAACTATCACAGGGTCATTTCTCTGAGTCCCCAACCAGGTCAAGCAGCAGTTCTGGTTTCTGTCATCAGGCATTCTGTTATACCTTTTGTTTTGAGACAGGGTCTGGTTCAGTCACTAAGTTGCCCGGGCTGGGCTTGAACTTATGAGTCATCTGCCTCAGCCTTTCAGAGTGCTGGAATTACAAACGTGCACGACCACACCTGGCTAGGTTTTTTTTTAAACAAAAATTTATAATTTTTGGAGGGTAAAAATTACTTTTACTCTCAATCACATGAGATGATTTAAAAAGAAAAACTGTAAACATCAGAGAACCAGTCTTTTTTATGTTCTTGTGAATCAATTTCGTTTTTCTTTTTTTTTTTTTTTGGTACTGAGGATCGAACTCCCTACCTTCCGCTAGCAAGGTAGGTAGCAGAACCACTGAGCTAGATCCCTGGCCCATTGTGAATCAATTTCTGAACAGTCCTAAATTATTTTTTCACTCAACATATTTAGATAAAATTTATAATGCAAAAATATCATAAGGATCTATTTTGGTTGTTTTCAATTATAGAAATAGAATTTTCTTTTTTAGGGCTGGGGATTTAGCTTAGTGGTTCTGGTGCCTGCCTTGCAAGCGCAAGGTCCTGAGTTTGATCCCCGGTACCAAAAAAACCCCCCAAAAAACAAAATACCTTTGACAGAAATAGAATTTTCTTTTTTGTCTTTACATAGTGCAACTGAAAAATGTTTATTAAATCAATAAAGTCAATCTGTTTTAACATGGTTTCCAAAACACCAAACTGACCTATGAAGAAAGTTCTACCCTTAAACTTTTTTTCTTCCCCCCAAGACACGGTCTTCCTATATTGTCCAGGCTGTCTTCAAACTTTTGACCCTTCTGCCTCAGCTTCCTGAGTACTGGGGTTACAGGCATGTGCCACCATGCCTGGCTTAGGTATATTAAAAAAATTTTTTTATTTGGTACCGGCAATCGAACTCAGGACTTTGTGCTTGTCAGGCAGGCATGGTGCCACTGAGCTACATCCTCAGTTTATTTTATTTTTTATTAGTGCATGTTAATTTTACAAAATAAGGAGCTTCAGGCTGGGGATTTAGCTCAGTGGTTCGGCTGCCTGCCTTGCAAGAGCAAGGACCTGAGTTTGATCCTCAGTACCAAAAAAAAGAAAAGGAAAGGAAAAACCTGAAATCCTTTAAAAATACTCAAGGGCCAAAAAAACCCCACAAAAAACTCAAGGGCTGGGATTTAGCTCAGTGATTCTGGCACCTGCTTCGAAAGCACAAGGTCCCGAGTTTGATCCCCGGTACCAAAAACAAAAACAAAAAAACAAAATAAGAAGCTTCAATACAGTATTTTCACATATAACACATTTTTCACATATAACACATTTTGATCATCTCCATCCCTGCTATTACCCGCCCTTCCCCTGTATTCCCTGAACTATAGTTTTGTTTCCCTCAAATTCAAAGCATTATTCTGCTGGCCTGGATAATAAAGGACTAAGGTTGAGGCTGTAAAAGAGGCTTAAAGCACAAAGTGCAAATATACAGTGCTGGGGGAGGTGGCTATAATCCCAGCACTGAGGAGGTTGAGGCAGGAGGATCCCTGCAAGTTTAAGGATAGCCTATGCTGCATAGTGAGTTCAAGGCCAGAGTGAACTACATAATGAGGCCCTGCCTCAAAAAACAAAAACAGGGCCAGGGATTTAGCTCAGTGGCACGGTGCCTGCTCCACAAGCGCAAGGTCCTAAATTCAATCCCTGGTACTGCAAAAAACAAAAACAGCAAAAACAAAAAATAACCCCCAAAGAAATTATATATTTTTTGTACCGGGGACTGAACTCAGGACCTTGTGTTTGTGAGGCAGGCAGTGGAATCACTGAGCTAAATCCCCAACAAACAAATATATATTTATCAGAGGTCATAAACCTCAGTGGAAAACAAAGTGAAGCCATTAAAGGAAACTGTAAAGAAAAAAGAAGACTAAAAGACACAATTCACTTACCTATCCCCCAGGCCCAAAATATAGCCAACCATCGACATGACTGCTAACGAGCGGGTATAATTGGTTCTTCGGTCAAACCACACCTGCAACACAGGCACACATGTGAACCAGGCTCTGGAGGCATAACTGTCCCCTCACCTGTTGGCATCTTATATTCCACCAACAAGCAGTTAGGATGTATAATGGAATAAAGACCCCATTCATAATTACAGTGCTACACTTCACCTTAGAACAAATGTAATTAGAAATGTGCTGGGCTTAAATGAACAAGTAAACTCTCCTTAGGAATGCAAAGACTTGAGTAAAAGAAAATATGTATTTCAGAACAGGATATGGTGGCACACACCTGTAATTTCAGCACTTGGGAGGCTGAGGCAGGAGGGTCACTGTGAGTTGAAGGCCAGCCTAGGCTACATAGTGAGGTGGTTTTTTTTTTTTGGTACCGGGGATCAAACTTGGGACCTTGTGTTTGCAAGGCAAACGGTGGAACCACTGAGCTAAATCCCCGGCCCTACATAGTGAGTTTTAAGGCCAGCCTGAACCATGTAAGTGAGACTGTCTCAAAAAACCAAAAAGAAAAAAAAAAAATCTATTTTAGAATATTCACTTGATTGTGAAGATGTAATATCCTCCCAAATTATTTGACACTTTTAATATAGTTCCAATAAAAGTTCAGAGGCACTGTTTTAGGAAACTTGACGTGGAAGAAAAAATATAAGAACATAGACACTGTGAAGAGACTCATACTACTGGTATGGTATAAGGAGAAACAGGCAGAAAGAACAGTGATACAACAGAAGCCCTAGAAAGAAACTCATGGGCATGTAAGAATTTAGTGCATAATGAAAACGCAATCTTTAATACTGGGGAAAGGATAGATCATTTGGTGAACAGTGTGGTGTTATCTATTTATATTTTAAAAATTAGTTTTGCTTTAGTCTTAAATTCCAACTTGGGGTAGGATTTAAATGTTTAAAAAGTCTTATAATTAAGTGTAAGAAAATACATATAAAGATACATAAGCTTGATGGAAAGGCCTTTCTGAATATAAAACCATCAGCAGAAACTTGAAAGGGTGGTATTTTAGGTTTTATTGTGTGGGGGGGTTGTTTTTTGGGGAGACAGAGTCGTGTTTTATAGTCCAGGGTTTTTTTTTAGCCATTAAGCTTTTTTTTTTGGTACCGGGAATCAAATTCAGGACCTTGTGCTTGCCAGGCAGGCGTGGAACAGCTGAGCTACATCCCCGGCCTGGCTTTTTTCTTTTTGAGACATGGTCTCGTCATGTATTTCAGGCTGGTTTTGAACTCATTATATAGCCTAGGCTGGCCTTGAACTTGAACTCGTGGTAATCCTCCTGCCTCAGCCTCTTGAGTGCTGGGATTGCAGGTGTGCACCACCACACCTGGCTGGTATCCTCTTTTAAAACATCTATTTTGCTAGGTGTGGTGTACATGCCCATAATCCCAGCACTTGGGAGGCTGAGACAGGAGGAATGCTGCAAGTTTGAGGCCAGCCTGGGCTACACAGCTGAGTTCAAAATCAGCCTGAAATACATGGTGAGGCCATGTCTCAAAAAAAAGGTCTATTTCAAAAACATTAACACAGCTGGTGTGGTGGCACGTGATTGTGATCCCAGCACTCAGGAGGCTGAGGCAGGAGGGTTGCCAGGTGTTCGAGGCCAGCCTGTACTACACACTAAGTTCAAGGGCAGCCTGAGCTACATATAGAGAACTTGTCTCAAAAAAACCAAAAACTAAAACAAAACCAAATTAACATAATTAAAAAACCAAACAAACAGGAAATTTATAACACATATGAAAAAGACTATCAGTAATACATAAAAAAACCTCAAGTACTATCATAAATAACAGGAAGACATCAGACTCAACTCTCACCTCTAAACCCCATGGCCACCCTTTGTTTTATGGAAAAGCCCACGGCCAGCCTCACCAAGAGGGCTCTTCAAGCCACCGGCCACCCTACCTCCGAGCTGGGGCTCTTCAGCCACAGCAGCTTGGCCAGGTCGTCCCCCGCTGTGTTGTTGACAGCATGCTCAAACACCTCCACCTTCTGCATCAGAGTCAGGTGGTCATAGTCTGGAGCCATCTGTGTCATGACACAACCACCCAGTCAAGAGGTCAGCTGCAGTCTAGGAGGAACAAGGCTTTGGGGCCAGGGGTAGCTGGGTTCTACGCCAAAGGACAAGGGAAATGAGAACACCGCACACAGAAGGATGGGGGGACCACCCTAACTGTGACCACAGGACTCCGAGAGCGCAAGGGAACAGAATGTGTTCCTCCCCCCCAAATTCATTCATTAGGGCACTCCAGGACCAGCCTCTTCGTGCGGGTGGATACGAGGTCTGGGTGACACACGGTTCTCTTTCCTGTATCTTACACATCTAACCAAGGCTCTGATGCACTGTGTGTGTTAGGCTTGCTGTTTATCTGTCCAGTCTGGTCTAAGATAATGAACACTTAATTCTGGGCTTTACGGTGCTGCAGTGTCCCAGAGAAGGCTATCTGCTTTAGGATTCAACTCATTAGACCTTCCTCCATAGCGAGTTCCCTCGCACAGGTTTCTCCATGACAGCACATACACAGGGGAGCTAGAAAAGCAGCCCCAGGCGGCCCCTGGTGTGTGAGCGGCCTCTGCATGCTCTGGGGTGGGGTCCGGTGGCCTCATCACGTACTCGCAGCATGATGCGGTGCTCAATGTTGAGGAGGATCTTCTTCTTCTCCCTGTAGTCCCGGATGAGTGCATGCAGCGTGTCACAGTGGGGCACCCAGCCAATGAGGCCCGAGTTGGTCGACAGAGGGATGACGGCATATCTCTGGATGCTGGCGTCCATGGAGAGCGGCAAGGAAGAGAGCACACCTTTGGTCAGCCCAGGACGCACGCAGACTGGCCCCGGCCGCAGTGAGGTGTGTAGTGTGTTGCCCTTCGTGGCAACAGGCACCTCAGAAGGGAGGTGCCTGGACCACACCGAAGCCAGCTCCTCACAGCCTGCCTGACAATGCCCAGCTCTGGGGAAGCATCAAATGACTATTTCTGAGGCTAAAATAACTCCTCAGTGTAATACCCATGTTCTTAAAGGGAAAAGGAGCAACGGTGTGGAGCACAGGAAAAAATCTGTCTGGGCTTTGAACCCACAAGGGGTAAAAAATGCACCAGATCTGCAGACTTTCCAGTCTAATCTCAAATCGCTCCCTTACCGGATCCTTTGGAGGTTGTTAACAGCATTTCCCACTGAGGGTACCCTAAACATTCCAGAGAATTTTCTTTCTGTGTTAGGTACCTGGGTACTGAGACAGAGATTTCTGCCAGGAATGTACTTTTCTAACTGATTTGCTAAAGGCACATGATTATACAGACAGATATAGGGATACAGGCAAAAACAAGATGGACGACTCCTCCAAGCTTCGCCATTTTCACCGCGCTCTGAATACCTGAGGTTTTTGCGGAGGGATGTTGGGTCGTTGGCCAGGAGGGTGTTGACCAGGCCGAAGAGCTGCATCACTCGCTCATCCTGCCGCAGGTCTTCATGGCCTTTCAGGAGGAAGACAAACTCATGCCCATTGCTGCCTGCAAAGAATTGTGGGAGCAGTGAAAGCAGAGCAGAGGTTTTCCTACCTGCTGGCAGGGCTGCCTGTGTACGCCAAAGGTCCTAGAGACTGCCAACACCCCACCTAACATGAGCCCTCCAGTCAGCAAAAACTGCTCTCTAGGACTGAGGAAAAGAGTAGCTCTGCTTTTCGTGGTCCCTCCATGACCAAAACTGTTCAAATTAAAACCAAAAAGCTGTTTTTGAGGACCAGGTAGTCCCTCCTTCCCGGCATACTCTGTCTTCTGTCTTCCGAACCTAACCCTACAGGACACATCACCTGGGGCCCAGTGGGGTGGGACCAGTGAGGGGACGGGGACAGGACGCACATGAGGTCACCTGAGCTGGCCACAGTTCTACAGCAGCCAGGTCTCTCTATCTGGCTAGGCTCTGGCCAGGTGACCACTCTTGCCCTTTCAGGCCTGGGGAAACCCCTCAGTGTGTGTGTTTCTGGGAGCTCCTGCCAGTTCTAAACTTGCTCATGCCTCTGGAGGCACTACTTCATTGAACTTCTTTAATTAACAGCCCTGAGAGTAGGGTGTGGTGGCACATGCCTATCATCCTAGCACCCTGGCAGGCCAAGGCTGGAGGATTGAAAGTTTGAGCCCATCCTGGGCAACACAGTGAGACCCTGTCTCAAAATGAAAAAAAGGGGCTGAGGTAACTCGGTGCAAAGGCCCTGGGTTCCATTCCTAGTAATGAAACAAAGCACTCTGAGAACCTGACTGACCATGTCTTTGTACTAGAGGACAATGGCCCCAGGAGACACTATCACCTGTGGACCACAGCTAACTGGCACTGGTGAGTAACCACTATGCTTAAGAAACAGTACTATTAAAAGCGGGACCACAAGATGTCACCAGAGCAACCTGGCCTCCCTCAACTGGCCCATGGAGGTAACATCTACCCCTAAGGAAATCCCAGAAGTCTTTTTTTTTTTTGGTACCGGGGATCGAACTCAGGACCTTGCACTTTTGAGGCAGATGCTGGAACCACTGAGCTAAATCCCCGGCCCCCAGAGGTCATTTTTAACAAATCTCACAGTGAGAATTCATTTCTGTTTTAGCTTGTTCATTTTACATAATCATTTCCCACAGAGAGAGACTACAATGGTAAAGGAACATGACAGCCTGAAGCTCGCTCAGCACAGTAGCCTGACGCTCCCCCGACCTGCCTGCCCCCGCCAGCTCACCACACCAGTCACTTCTCTTCCCCAAGACAGTTCTGAGCAAACCAGGAACCCGGGCGCGTGCCGGGGAGACTACTCAGGCAGCACGGGAGGGAGAAGCAGGTGGCCAGAAGCACAGTGTTCCTTACCCATGAGGGTCAACTTCCGGGGCCTCTGCTTGGATGTGATGACTTGCAAAGATGGGGCGATGGACTGAATGCGAATGATTGGCTGGTTGGGGTCATACGTTCCCGGCACAGCCAATTCAAGGTCCCGGCACATCAGAAGTTTAGGGGAAACATACTGCAGCTCTAAGGATGTGAGCTGTGAATAATTACCAAACAGTTACATTTTCTGCCCCTAGGGAGAAATTTAAAAGCAATTTAACTATTTTTCAATGGATTGTTCTAAATGATTATTTGTCCCAAAGTCTGCAGGTAGGAGTGGAACAAGATTCTTACACAGAGGCGGGAAGCTCCTGGGCAGTGAACAGGAAGGACTGCTGACCGCGAGCCCTGCCGGAAGTCAGAAGAGCCTACCTGGGGCAGCTGCTTTGAGATCCGTCTGAACACATGGTAGTAGAGGTCCCAGGCTTGGGTGAGGTCCTTGACATTCCCTGATTTCATGTACTTCCGGCACCACTCCTGGGCCTCCATCAAATCTCGGCCATATGCCTGAGTGAAAGCAGGGCAAAGTGCAAATTGTCAGTGTGGCCCCTCGGCCAGGAGCAAGGCACTGGCAGGGGACTGGTGAGCAAGAGCAGCTGTGCCACTACCAGTCCTGCAGCCCCCAGACCATGAGGATGGCTCATTAGGCAAGGGAAAGGGGAAAGACAAGGTGACCTCTTGAGCGGTCCTGTGATTTTCTAGTTAAAATTTTAGGAGGGGCTTGGGGTGTAGCTCAGTGGTAAAGCACTTGCTTGGCACATGCAAGGCTCTAGGTTCAATCCCTAGCACCATAAAACAAAAAACCAAAACAACCAGTTACAAAACAAAAAATATCAAACCAAACCAAAACAAAACAACAATTCAGGAGGGTTCTTGTAATTAGTGAAAATTGTACTTGTGGTGTTTTTAATTCCTGTGACCTCTGTTGAAGGGGAGGAGAAGGACTGGAGGAAAGCAGCCTGATAAAGGTCCTGGCAGGGTCCTTGGGCCGACTTGTCCCCTACCTGGTTAAAGGACGTCTCCTTCAGGGTCTGGGGGCCCCGTTCCATCATCGCATGCAGAGGCTCCAGCACCTCAAACATGCCTTTCACATTCCTCTCCCCGAAGTACAAACGAGACGCCTCTTCCAGGCCTTCGTGCCACATCTCATGCCAGAGGATGGCCACGCGGATCAGCTCCTCGCTCACCTGGATCAGTGGGAGGAGAAGCAGCAAGGATGAGCCATACTTGGGAGGGACTCCTCTGGCAGCCAGAGGGAGTGTGCGGCAGTGTCGTGTGGAAGAGATACAGTCTCCTGAGACCCCTGGCTGGGGGCTGTGATGGTGGAGGCCTCGCTGGCTCCAAACTCACCATCATGGCCTGCTGGACCAGGGTGTTACTATGCTCACACATGTTCTTCAGAATCTTGTTGGCTGCGTTGTGGCGGGCCGTTGTGGTAGACTTGGAAGCCACCGTCAGGGGGTAGATGAGGGCCTGAAGCAAACACAGGAACATTTGTGAGGGGCATGCGAAGGGAGCCTACCTGGGTTCCTGGAAGATGGCAAAGAGGTGGTGGGAACGATGTAAACACCACTCGAGTCTCCCAGGGAGGGAACACTCCGTCTTGGAGGGGACTCTTCAGGAGACCCTGGGCCACTGGGACTGAGCTGGGCAGACCCTCCTGGGGCAGGATGGAGTGCCCGGTCCCCTGTTCCTGCACTATGTCTCTCAGAGGCTGGCCTCCAAATCAAAGGTGAGTGGCCAGATAGAAGGCGCCCAGGCTCTCCACATACCTGGGGGTGGTACCGACCAATGTCTGTGAGAAGCTGGTGAATGAGCCGCCCCACCAAGGGCCTGGGTGTATCTATTCTTGCAATGAGCTGAGGTATAACCTGGTATTCAAAAAGATACAGTAAGCAGAATGTAAATAACGCTAGTCATTCTTCTAACAATCAACCCGTGTAACTGGTTTTGGTTAGCTCTGTTAAGCTCTGAAATGATGCATTCCCTCCAGTTCCCATTCCCTAAAGGAAATAAAGAGGACACGGAGTGTAGACCTTGGGCTCAAGCTCCACCTCCTTGCCACTGCACAGCGCACACTCCCTTGGTGCTCTGCCCACAGTATGATTCCCAAGGAGACACAGAGGAGCGAGAATCAGACTCATCTACACCTGGATGGAACAAGGTGGTCTCACCTGTAACCACGTATCGATCTGGATTGCTTTCACCCCTTCCACTAAGGCTTCGTTGACATCCGGCCAGTGACCATAATCAAACCATAAGGTAAGGACTCTGGAAAAGACAATGGGGAAGTCATACAGAAAATTTAGTTTCCCAGCTTTTGTCACTTGTTTTCATCTTTAAGGCCCTGGAGAAGAGAAACAGCAGCTGTAACGTGTGGCAGAGACCCTGACAGGTCCATGAGGATAGCTCCAAATGAACGGATGCTCCATCCCAGTCCAGCCGAGCCACTACCCCCGAGGAACACACCAATCTGCACACGTGGACAAGTCGCCTGAAGAACAGGGGCAACAGGGAAGCTGGGCACTGAGCTGGTCAGAGACCCTGAAAAAGGAGGGGGTGCCCGGTCACCACCAGCCTCTCGCCTAGTGGGATTGAGATCTCTCAAAGCTGCAGGGGGACTTAAGAAAGATTGTGACAGACAGATATAGTCATTCCCTACAAGATAAACCACACGTGGAGAGTTCGTGCTTTGCCTTAGTCTGTGGTTCTCACTTCATGGGGGGCCTGGTCAGCAATCAGCCCTCAGGCACAGGCTGAGAAAGAACTGGATGCTGACCTCGGCTGTACTGACCAGGGTGGGGAAGGGAAAGAGACCTGTGTGTGGGTTCTGTGTCCTGCACCAACACAGCCCCCAGAATTTTGTTCTCCCCTTGCCTCATACCTGAGTGTATCCTGGAGGTTGTTGCCACGAGACAAGGAGATAGAACGGAAGAAGCCCTGGACGGCAGGGACAGTGTACATCAGGAGGGTTTTGGACAAGTCCTGTTGGAAAAAATGTGTTAGTTGCTACTCTTGTCTCAGCTTTCTTTATCTCTCTCTCTTCCTTTACCGTATTTTATTTTTTTGTCTGGCGTTGGGGATTGAACCAAGAGTCTTGCACATGCTAGGTAAGTGAGCCACATCCCCTGGCCTTTTGTCTCACTGTTCTCATTTGTGAAATGTGCACAATTACATACTAAGAGTACCTACTTCGAAGGGCAGTTTTGAGTGTTAAACCAGTCATGTTAGTAAAAAGCACTCAATAAATGGCAACTGAGTCACAACTGCCATTGTCTTGGGGTGAGGGTGGCTTCCTGAAAGGGTGGGAGGAGGGGGCTGCTCTTGGGGCTGCTTCCCAGGTGCACTGTGGACTGACAGCTTACGGGGAGTGGGAAGGGGAGGGAACAATGCAGGGCACAGAGCCCCCAGGCCCTTGCCTGGGGGTGGACTGGCAGATATGGGGGCTGCCCACGTCCTGGTTTACACTTTAGGAGAATGTGCTCATTGCGTGGGAAGCAGAGGAGCCTTCTTAGCTTGTCTGGCAGCTCCCCAGACACACGCACAGAGAGCAGCAGCTCTGCAACCCTGTACCCCGCAGTGGCAAATTGCACTGTATCGTCTCTGCAGAGAAATCCTCAGGCCCCTCAGTATCACCACTATTCCACTGCTTAGCGACCCGCGCTGGCCTCTTACTGAGGCAGAGGGGAGGGTACCTCAGTGACCTTCTTCTGCACAGGTGACGGAGTGGGGCTGTGCTCCGTGCTCTCAGCTTCACTCTCACTGTTGCTGCCCTCTGTGCTGGCGGTGGCGGTGGTGGTGGCAGTGGCAGCAGTGGTGGCAGCAGTGGTGGCATTGGTGATGTTGGCCCCGCTAGCATGACGCAGCTTCTTCTTCTCATCGCGGGCTTGATTTTGGTGTTTGTAGTGTAGCACAGCTTCAAAATTCATCACTGCCCACGCATGCCAGGCCTGGGAGGGTGAGAGCCAAGGGCAGACAGCAGAGCTGTGACCGACTACAGCTTAGAGGGGAGCAGCGCTGTGCTGAGGAAGAGCTAGGCCTGGCCCTGCTCTGCAGTTAGCAGAGTAAGACTTCCTGGCAAGGTGAAGAACAGAAGAGATACAGGAGGGAAAGCACCGAGTATCCAGGTAAACCAGCAAAGGTGTCTGCTCGAACCTGGGGCACACTCAGGAATGGAGTTGGGGAAGGACAACAGAGAGCCAGGGACAGATGGCAGATGAGTAGGCAGGGTGGGCAAGGAGGTCTCACTTTATCTGTAGGAAAAGAGCCTTACTGGGTTTTAAAGTATATGATACAGATCATTTAAGAAAGTAGAGGTTGTGGGTAGGCAGCAGCTGTCACAGCATGTCAGCAGTGATGGTGAATCCTAACAGGTCACACGAGAGTGGGCAACGGAAGGCAGAGAGCACAGGAGAGCGAGGGAGGATGAGCCTGTGGCCTGGGAGAGAACCAGCAACCAACGGCTGCTCAATGAAAAAAGGCCTGCCTGGTGTGCATCTGGACAAAGGAGGACTGTTCGCATCTCTGAGGTCTGGTTTTGCGGTGATTCCACTGTGCCCCACTGTGTGGAGAGTTTGATTTGGGCACAGTAACTGTACTGAGAGCAGGACATCAGACAGTCCACTCATGGTTGGATTTTCTGGATAACTAGGAAATTCTCTCCTACACCTTGCTAAAGACCTTGAGATAAATGTGTCCACTTTCCCATCTAAGCAGAATAGACCTTTACTGGGTGAGTAAGAACCCTGCGCTGACCTGGGGTAATTTTCCCTACCTTCATTTACTCAGTGGGTGCTTGTCACACAAGTACTGGGTGCCAGGCACTGAGCTGGGGTCACAGTGAACATGATCAACAGTGCTCGCATGCATCAGTGCTACAAGACTGATGGCAGAATACGTCACAAAACCAAAGGGACCTACTGATACTAGGAAATACTTTTAACAACTAAAACAGAAGTTCCCGGAAACAGTTCTGTTCCCGTGATCTGCTTCTTTTGTAAAAGCCAAATGAAGAAAAGGAACTCTGGTTAGGGGACAATTCCGATTAGTAAGGTGCTTGCTAATCAAGGGTTTGCTGGACTTGCTTTTCCAGTTTTGGACATGCAGCTGTACCTGAGATGGTAATTATTGTCCTGTCACAAAATGGGAGTTTTTCAGATCAGCACAAAGCATGGTGAAATAAGGATAAGATTTTTTATTGTAAAGGCTTCTGTGGCTTTCAGATACAAGTTTGCTCCCAGAGGGACTAATTCACAAAGTATTAACAAGTTAAAGAGATTCTGGAAAGAAACTGATGACGTCTGCTATACAAAGCAGCTGTTGCCAGGAGGGCCCTCAGCAGACACAACACAACGAGGGGGTGTGCTCTCTCCAATGATGTTCCACCTTTTGTACATTTTCTGTTTGTCTTTTTGAAAAGCTTCCTGTCATATAACAGGCTGTTACCCAGATCTTTCCAATAAAAACAAAGTTATTTCTGAGCTGAGGATGCAGCAGGGATGGAAATCTGAAAGAAGCTAGGAAGACACAGATGACCAAGGGAAGGTGAAGTTCCACAGATTAACTAACTCTGTATCCAGAGGCGCTGAGGAAAACAAGCAGCGCTGAGGCTGTAAGACAACAGTAGCCCCAGGCCTGCAGAATAATGGCACAATAAATATTTCTCCAATGAAAGAATCAGGGCTGGGGAAACTGCAAGGGAAAAAGAAGACTCCAGGCACTGCAGGAGGAGAGTCACAGCAGCAGACGGGCCCCTAGAGGCCTGGCTGGAGGATGCAGGAGAGTGGAGCCTGCCGCCCACCTGACTCACCTTGTACCAGCTGCGGTCATGCTCTGTGGCGGCACTGTAGTACTGCAGCACTTTGGGGATGGTGCTCTCATTGATGCCCTGGAGGTTTAGCTGCCACTCCCCAAGTTTCAGGAAACACCTGAAAAAACAGACAAAGCCCATGTTGCTCCTTCCCCAAAAGGGCCCCCCTAAGGTGAATAGTTGGGGGCTCCCAAGCCTTTCTGGGCAGCGTGATAGAACCAGCAGGATGCTGAACCATGTGGAAGGAAGGTAGGGTCTGGGGAAACATTTTAAAGGTATCATCTTCTCTTCAGGACCTGTCTGCCAACGACAGCATAAACCAGGAACTTGGACAGGAAGGTCTGCATGGACCTATCCACCTCAAATGCAGTTGTTTTTTTTAGGACCTTGAGCTCGCAAAGTAGGCGCCGTGCATCTAAGCTAAATCCCTGGCCCTCAACTGCAGTTTTTAGCGGGGGGAGTTGTTGAGAGTTATTTTTCTTATTGGACGCTGTCTGGCTCTTCCCTCACTCTTCTCCCCCAACCTGTTTATAGGGATAATAGCAATAGCTAACGCCCACTGGCTGCCACTGTATTCCAGGTATTGCTATGAATGCCTGATGCTCCTGAGCTTCACCCTATCTTATACCACCTTTTATCTGATGAGGAGACTGAGGTACCCGGAGGTTAAGCAACTTTCTAAATCAAACTTATTTACACATCAAATTAGCAGTGTATTTGGCAATGGAAAACAAGGTGTCTAGCCCCAAACCAGACACCAGGAGGAGAGCACAGGGCGCTCCTGAGCTGCTGGCTACCAGGAAGAGGTAGTGATGTGGAGCAGACAGCACGATGGCTGCCTGGGAGCCCTACAGACAGTGAGGGCCATCACAACTAACCCTTCGCCCCCTCCCTGGAGCCCTGCGTGTCCTCCTGCCATGGAAGCTTCTGGGACTCACCGGGCCATGAGCTTGTGCAGCTCTTGCTTGTGCTGCTGGTCCTCAGTGGCAACGGCGTGCTGGGCCTGCTGCTGCACCGTCTGGACAAAGTGCTGCATGTGCTGGAAAGCGTCGATCTGCAGCAGGACAGAGGCACAGACAGCCACTTGCATGGTCCGACTCAAAGGCACGTGAGTCAGGTCTCCACACAGAACCTCTAGAACATGGGTGGGACTCCTAGGAGAGGGAAGCAGGGTGTGCTGCTGGCAGAGGGCTGGGGTTCTCCAGGGATCCATGATTTATTCCACTCAGGTCTCAGCTCTCCTTTGCTAACTGTGATTCCCAGTCTAGTAAGTCATAGAAAAGTCACATGCTTAGCTACCTGACTGGATTCCCATGAAGGCACTGAAGAAGTGCTTATTTCATTGTCTACTTATTGCCCTGGGGAAATTAGGGTTACAGGGAATTGTTTTAGACTAGTAAAACTTTAGTGTTTGTTTGCAACATGACACCACCTTGGGCATTCCAGTGTGGCAAAAACTATATATATATATTTAAAATATATATATACATATTTTTTTTTTTTTGGAACCGGGGACTGAACTCGGGATCTTGTGTTTGCGAGGCAGGCAGTGGATAAAACTATATATTTAAAATCACACGGTTGTGGTGCCATGCACCTGTGATCCCGGCTACCTGCGCAACTTAGTGAGACCTTGTCACCAAAAAAAAAAAAAGGGACTGGCTGGGGATGTAGCTCAGTAGCAGAGTGATGAACAGGCTTAGAGCAAAATCAGAGCATCCCCAGCAGCCAGATTTATGACCCTCTGCGATTTGGTGTGAAGTGAGCAGAGGGCATCTGTGCTAGGAGCTGACGGCTGCATTCAGGAAGAGCAGCACAGTGCCACAGGGAAGCCTGAGCCAGCCTGCCACATCCAAACATCCAGCATCTTGACACTTGAGGTCCACATAGCTTTTTAAAGGACTTTCAGGATGGAGCCTGAGTATACAAACACCTAAAGCTCAAATGGAAAGATGGAAAAATCTAAATGCTCTAACACAGGGAGGGGAATCATTACATGAGAAAATATGAAAAAAAGCCTATGTGTTCTCTGCTGCAGAAAAAGAGAAAAAAAATCAACACTTCAAATAATAGGTCTCCTTATGGAAAATTACATGACATTGTTTTTGTTTTGTTTTGTTTGTTTTTCTTGGTATCAGGGATTGAACTTGGGACCTTGCACTTACAAGACAGGTGGCGGAACCACTGAGCTAAATCCCCAGCCCTGTTTTCGTTTTGTTTTTAAAAGCAGAAACATGCTGTGATATGATGATGACCCTGAAGGAAAGTGAAACTATCTGGCTTGGAGGCTAGGACCAATCTCAGGTACTTTTATTTCTTTTTATTTTTTGATATTTTGAGACAGGGTTTAAGTTGCCCAGGCTGGTCCCAAACTTGTAATCCACCTGTCAGTCTCCTGAGTGCTAGGATTACAAGTGTGTGCCACTATGTCCGGCATGAGATAGTTGTATTTTTTTTAATTAAAAAACATTTTTTTTGGTACTGGGGATTGAACGTGGGACCTTGAGCTTGCAAGGAAGGTGGCAAAATTCCTGGTCCAAGATTTTTTTTTTTTTTTTTTTTGGTACCAGGGATCAAACTCAGGTCCTAGCGCTTGCGCAGCAGGCAGTGAAACCACTGAGCTAAATCCCCAGCCCCTCCGAGATATTTTTAAATGTAAGGAATTAACTGGCATCAACAGATAGGGTTTAGGGTTTTGGGCCAGGGATTTAGCTCAGTGGTTCCACCACCTGCCTTGCAAACACAAGATTCCGAGTTCAACCCCTAGTATCAAAAAAAAAAAAAAAAAAGTGAGAGATAGGGTTTGACCCAGAGCTGGGACAGCACACCCAACTCTTCCTTAAGCCACTAATCCATGCCTGGGGACAGAGCAGACACACGATGTCCCACAGTGAACATGACACCTGTCTCCTGCTGGAATCTGCCTTCACAGAGCTCCACTGCTCACTACCAACTCCACACATGAACTACATCAGCATCCCCCGCCGCGTAAGTGACAAATGCCCCTTTGGGTCTTCCGCCAGGAGAACTACATTGGCTAGACTTAAATCTCATTTAAAAAGGAGGCAGTACTAAAAGGATGAGCCACCAGAAAGGGGACTGGTAACTCAGAGTGATCATCAAGCAGGCGGGAACTAAGCCTGGAACTCAGATGCCAGCTCTCAGAGCCCATACGCTTTGTGTCACTGACAATCCAGCCAGTGTTTCAACTCAACCCGGGGTTGAACAAAAAAGAACACTGAGAATGGGGATGAGGGATTGCTGGGTATTCATGTGAGTGTGAAGCCCAACATTAAGTTTATCCTGCATGGAAGAACTCAGTATCTTTCTACTCTACACCAGGAGGCAACTTATTTTCAAAGAATTGAAAATACTCTATTTAAATCTTTTCTCCATTCCCAAGAAGGGAAAAGTCATTCTTTCATTCTTGCTAATGAAGGACCCCTCACTTGGAGAAAAGGACTTCTCTCACTCAGACCCACGGGGCTGGGGCTGGGCCCTGCACTCTAGTTGTGAGTACTGAGTCTGGGGAGTGTGTGGGCAGTACCGACCTTCCCGCCAGTGAGATCTCATGGAAGGACCAGCCTGTCTCTAGATTCCATGGCGTCTCACCTATGAAGACGCCATAAGAACACCCATGGCTTGGGGTCTGCTTTCCCCTAAACACTTTCATTCGCATCAGAGGCAGGGAACATGGTCCTTGCTCACAGTGCAGGAGAGTAAGGCTGAGACAGTGATTGCTCAGCAGCACAATTATTAAGGCGTTTTCTCTGAGACGCTCCCAAACATGGAAGATGTGACATCTCTAGCTCTGGGCTTGAAGCCCAAGTACCTAACTTTAATTTTTTTTTTTTTTTTTGGTACTGGGGATAGAACTCAGGACCTTGCGCTTGCGCAGCAGGCGGCGAAACTACTGAGCTAAATCCCTGGCCCAACACCTAACTTTAAATAATTTCCCAAAATATTTAATCCCACCAGAATTTGGGCTCCTAGGGAAAGAGCATATTCTTCGAAGCTGGGCTGTGCTCCTGGGCCGAGATACCACCCACAAGGCTCCTTCTGATGGCTGCACACAGAAAGAAACTAGATGACACTGGGATCCGGCACCTTCTGCTTTTCTCATTTGCCTGGAGACAGCCAGGCTTTGACTCAGAAATGCCCTAGCCTGGGAGCTCACAGGGACTGAAAAACAAAACAATAAAAACAAACAAAATCCCCGAACTGCACCTGGGTCACTGGTAATGAGGTAAACTCCAATCACAGACCAGGTGCCTGGGTGTGGGCTGTTGTCGATCCCCTATGGGTGGTACTGAAAGTCACATTGTGTCCACAGCCTACAAAACCAGCCCATCCCTAGACCCTGGCCAAGGACTTTCAAGCATGCCCTCCAGACAGAACTTCTACTCCAGTGCCCATTTTTTCTTTTCTTTTCTCTATCTTTTTTCCCCATCTGGTACTGGGCATTAAACCTAGGGGTGCTCTACCCCCAGCCCTTTAAAAATTTATTTTGAAACAGAGTCTTACTAAATTGCCCAGGTTGGCTTTGAATGTGCAACCCTCCTGCCTCAGCATCCCAAGTACAGTGCCTGGTTTTCATTCCTCCAGCTCGGGCACCACAGTGGGGAGGGAAGGGTACAGCTGGGACTCAGATGAGAGGGAGCCAAGGCAGGTGTGACTGTCTCCAGGCCTCTTTTTGGTAATTACTGCCATCACCCAGAGGGACTGTTTAAAAGCAAAAACCAAAACCAGAGAGCCACATCTGTTTCTGGAGGACTTGTTTGTAAATAAAGAGGAATTCTACATTGGCGGCAAGATGATTTTCCCTCCTTATTTCATCCTGCATGGTGTTGTTGCTTTGTGTGTGTGTGTGTGTGTGTGTGTGTGTTGCTTTTGAATCCAAACTGTTGATAGGAAAGGAGACCAGAAGTCTGAGAAAACTAAATTGCTCTTGCAAAAGACCTAGTCTGTTTTCATGAATATATTCCTTTTTTTTCAGCACTGGGGATAGAGCTCAGGGCTTTCTTGCCTTCCCACTGAGCTATATTCTCAGCCCTGTTTATTTTTAATTTTGAGAAAAAATCTTGCAAAGTTCCCCAGGCTGGGCTTGAACTTAACATCCTTCAGCCTCGGCTTTTCAGAATACTGGGATTACAGTACTGCGAACCATGCCTGGCTGTGTATATGCTACTTTTGTACCTAATAATCTGTTTTAAGGGGTGGTAACTGTGCCTTTTCTAGATCCCAGCACTTTCTAGAACCAATAAATACAACTTGGATCATGCTCATTGGTCTGACCTAGGCATGCACCTTTCCTGGACTGGGTAGATGGTTTGGACACTGGTTCCTTTCTGTGGTGGAAGCAAGTTAGGTGAGCACTCGAGAAGACGGTCGCTGTTGGACAGACATAGGTACAGACCTACCTTGCGCGCGCTCTTCCACATGTTTTTCATGTAGGCATAGGTCACCTGAGGGTGAACTGTGGGCAGAGGATGGTCAAGTTGCCGAGATGGATCAACACCCAGGAGCAACACTAAGGTTTTGTGAGCAAGAGCCTTAAAAACAAGAGCATTCAGGTTATAAACGGGACCAGACCAGGAGCACTGCCCTCCATGTGGTGGGGTCACTCAGCCACGCACCAGCCTGCCGCTCTTGCCACACAGGCTTGCGTACTTGAGCCAGGTCCTCATGTCCTCATGAGGATTGACCACAAGGGACCGCACCATCAGGATTTTCTGCCAGTCCTCCACGATCCGCTGGCAGCCCTGAAACATTCAGAGAGGAGGGTTAGACATGTCTGCTGCTCTGTCTGAACTCCCCACAAACAGTGAAATCCACTGCAATAAAAAGGACATTCATGGACATCATCATAAGCTTCTCTACCAAGGGGCCTGAGACTGAAATAGCTCTTAGCGTCTTCTTAGCAGCTGAGAAGCGGAAGGTCATGGGAGTCTGGCGCTTACTTCTGGCTTTCACTTAGGATGTGACTTTGAGGTCCAGGGATTTAGCTCAGTGGTTCTGCTGCCTGCCTCATAAGTGCAAGGACCTGAGTTCGATCCCTGATACCAAAAAAAAAAAAAGAACAAGGATGTGACTTTGGGCAAGTCACTTAACCTCTCTGTGATAAAGTAGAATAAAAATAGTATCAACTTCTTGAGAGTATGGCAAGGATTAAATGAATGAAATTATGCTAATTTCTTAGATTCATTCCTCTTCATTTCTATTTGTCTCAAATCAAAAACTACATATAGTAGGTAAAGTGCGTCATTAATTTATACATATGAATTCTTTGTATTCAGAAAAGCTAGAGCGAATTAATTATCAAAGGGGCTAAGCTAATTTTATATCACATGATTGCTAAAAGGAAAGTGAACATCTCTTTCACCCTTGCTGGTAGGAAGTCGGACTTGGGAGGACAGATGGGTTTCCAAGATGTCACTTCCTGGGTGAATTTCACAAACCTCAGGCACGAAGAGACCCAGCACAGCTCAGGCTGACCTCTCAAACTGCTGGTTGGGGATTTTAATTTAAGTGACTAGGCCACAGAATGGCAGCTTTCCAGCCCCGGTGGCTCAATGAGCGTTTGGACAGTAAGCCATCCACGAGAGCCAACTTTCCACTGGAGCATAATGCTTTATTTTCCGCCTTGGGTAACAGCTTTCCATTCCATGAAATGTGACAACAATGATTTGCAAAGTTAGAAAAACAGAAAAAAGTACAGGGTGATTGTTTTGGTCTTCTCACTGACAGCTAGTTTCTCCCAGACGCTGAAATAATTTGGCTCCCTGTGAGCCAAAAAGTATCTTACTGGCTCAAGACAGGAAAGTCACAAAGGCTTAAGGGGATGGCAGAGTCCTGAACTTGCTAAGTTCAGGTATGAACCTCCCTCCCAGACTCACAGTCCACTCCCTTCCAGTTCTATTTATGAGGCCCACTTGTCAGAATGGCAAAGACTCATCAGGTCTCTGATTTGGAAACTCTTCACCTCATTACTGGCACTTAAAAAAACCAGGGTGTGTACCAGTCTAGTGGGAAATGCTTGCCTTGTGGAACCCTTTCTGTTGCCCAGTAGACAATTTTCCATCAAAACACCCACTGGGCACGTTATAGTTACTAATAAAACATGTACAAGAACTGTATGTGCTCAGTTTGGAGCCATGAGTGACTGTATTTGCCCACTGCTCTCTCCTGCCCAGTGGAATGTGCCCGAGCTTCCGAGCACAGAATGCACCAGAGTCAAAGGGTTTGTCACAGCCTCCTGAAGAGCCTAGAAGCACAAACCTCCACTGGTCTGGAGAGGATCTGGAATTGGATGTGAATCTGACCAAAAGGAAATGGCTTATAACTGAGGGAGCTGACTGAGAAGTGGCGAGACCAGTGATTATTGGAGCAGTAAAACTTTCTCTCTTTTTGCTTGGGGGGCTGGGGACTAAACCCAGGGTCTCGCACCTGCTAGACAAGTACTCTCCCCCTGAGCTGCACCCCTAGATGGCTTTCTTCCTTTGGGGGCGTGATCTCCTCCTCCCTACTCAAGGGCTGGGAGGACCTCTGCCCTTTCCAGGAGCACTGATGACTGCAGACTCCCAGATCTGCAGTTGACAGCTCCTCATGCTTCAGTGATCAGAATGTGACACAGAACCTCTAATGGGCCCTTGAAAAGTTTCTCTATCAGGGAAATCCACAAGGGGAAACATCTAAATGGAGGTGCTGGATGACTCTACCTAAGAACTGTCACCCACAGGATCTGGTGAATGACAACATCAGGCAAACTTGTTTAAAAACTTGGGTGCTGGTGGCCAGTGAGTGTTCAGAGCAGTGTTGGGCTTTGGTGGCAACCTTGGAATCTTCTGGGAGCCCAAAGATATTGATCCTGGGCCCACCTGCAGAAATGGTGATTTAACTGGCTGCAGAGTGGCCTGGGCATCAGGATTTTCAAATTCTCCAGCTGATTCTACTGTGCAGCTGAGGGTGAGAACTACTGATTGGCACATTTGGATTCCCAACTGCCTGGTCATAAGTGTCACTTACTAGAAATATTTTGTTATTCAAGCATGAGTGCCTGGCTTACAGAGGAGCTACAAAAAGTGTGTGGAGTGGGAGCAGGAAGGTGGGTCCAATGCCCACAAAGGCCCTCCGCAGGGATGGGGTGAACAGGGCTATCTCTGAGGCTCACCTGCAGTCTCTCCCACCAGATCTGGCGAATGATCTCTCGTCGCTCAGGGACAAGTTTGTACTGGATAACCTCCTCCAGTTCGGAGAGCATATGGCAAGAAACCATGGCCTGGTGGAAGCAAATCACATTCCAACCTAATTACTAACACTCCAAAAGGCAGGATTGATTCAAAGCATCCCTTCTGGTGAGCCAAGAAAACAGGCACATTTCCAGCAGCCTGTGAGTCCTCAGGCATCCACTCAACTCACCACCAACAATGTGCAGAATACTGGACACTCACCCCATATGCCCGACTGTAGCTCTCTCCTGCCATGGCAGTTAGCTCAGCATCCAGCAGGTCCCTGGCCTTGTCGATGCACTAGGAGAGAAACAAAGGCACAGGGCTCTGGACTCTGGAGCTGAAAGTCCTTTTAGGGCTTCCCAACTAGTCAACTAGCTGCAGAACTTATTTGTCTAGCTAAATTCCAGTAATGAAGAGAAAAATTCACCAAAGAAGGGAAGAAATCTTTTCCCAGATCTGAATGGCTGAAGAGGGTGTTATTCAATTTCTCATCAGAGTCAGAAATGTATGGCATTCGAAAGCTTAAAAGCTCAGGTTAAAAAAAAAAAAAAAAAACTCAGGTAAAACTCATTTTCGTGGGTGGTGAGGGAGAAGACATGCGAGCTGCTCTTGCATTTCAAGAAGACAGTCTGTGGGATCTGCCTTTGCTTAACTTTCTGTGCTGGGCATTTGTGAGAAGGGACTGCACATGCCGAATGGCTCCAGGTGGTTGTCAGGAAGGCACCAGTGCCTCTGAGATCCTCTGTTTGGTTTGGGATCTCTTGGGCCTCTGACCCAGCAGGTCCGACTCTGAGTCACATTAATCAACCCAGCGGAGGCCGCAGGAGTATGGTTTGTGCCTTCTCATGCCATCAACTGAAATCCCTCATGTGAGCTTTTCCCTTTTTGGGTGTTTAAGGTTAATTACTACATTGCCATCCCTGAAACTCTCAGACCATCGACGCAAGCACCTCTCCCAAAATAGCAGGTGCCTGACAGGGCGGATGCAATTGCACCGTTTTCTACTCTACAAGTCAGCATGGTATGGCTTCTTTGGAGGAACCCATGTGCGCCACCTCTCATGGCCAGGAGACCCTTGCAGCTGACTTCTGCTGCTACGTGGGGACTGCTGGCTCCTGGAACCCTCTCCTGGTGAAACTCCCAGCTTCTCTACTACAAGGAGTGCTGAGGCAGGGTGATAAATGGGTACAATGGTGATTCAAGAAGCTAACTCCCAAGGCAATCCCAATGGTAACTTCCAAAGCACAGCTTTCCTCCTCAGCACAGAGAGGCCCAGCTGACGTGGTGGCATCTTCTGAGCGTGTTCTAATGAGCTCCTGGAGCCCAGCAGACACAGAGCTGAAGAACGACAGCCTGGGTAATAGGTGCCATGTGCTCAGGGGTCAGGAGCCCATGCACAATACCTTGCCTTTGCTGGAAGATCTTGGTCCATGTAGGTTTTACCTGCTGTGCCAAGGAGAAGAGGTCCTGATGCAGCGCCAGCACGGCTCTGTAAAACGCCCCATCGTGGGTGTCCCGAGGTATCATACAGGTGTACTCTTCCATGCTGTCCCACTGACCTAGGCACACATGAGAGAGCAGCAGGCTGGTCACCTAGCTGGGCTAAATTTCAGGCAGCAATTCAAATAAGCCTTGAAGTTAGCTATTTCCACTTTCATTCAGCTTGGGGTACAAACAAATAAACTGGAGCATCATATACCAAAATTTCTGTATCCCGTGGGAGTTAACAAAGCCACATCTCCATTCAAACATAGGACTCACTGGTGCCCCAAGGAGCATAGTGAAGATGAGAAAGTGCACGAGGGCAAAGCCCACACATCAGATGGGTTTAATGCCTCACCCCATTAACCCGGGGAACTCGCCCAGGCTCCCTAAGAGAGAGTAGGATCATGTCCTTCCTCATTAATGAAGCACCTTGCATCTCAGCAGTACACTGGGACATTACATTCTCCTCTAAACAACTGGAAATGACCCGTACACAGACAAGGGATCGGATCAGATCAACAGTTTGCCCATTTCACCCTGGCAGTATCTTTGCCTTAGGAAGGAAGAGGTAAATTTTTAGAGGCTCTTTTGTAACAGGAAGGTGGGCCAGGTCACAGCGCTGCCAGCGAGAAGAGGCCTTTATCTCCCCTGGTGGGGTGAGCATGTATCGACTGCCAGGACTGCCAAGAGCATCTGCAGAAGAGGCATAGGCCTCATTAGCTGCAAACTGCAGGGCTGTTGATTTTATAAGGCATTTTCCTGCCTTTTTCTCAGACCAGCAGGTCATCCATTCTTGATGCCTCTGGGCAAAAGCAAATAGGAGAGGATGACTCCTCAGGAAGCAATTTGTTTTTGAAAGATGTTGCAGATCCGGCCCAGAACTCATGACAGGAAAGGATATAAGCTCTGTGACTCAAGAGGGAGAGCTGGAGGTGGGAGCTTGGGGCCTCTTTCTCTGCCCTCTGCAGGGGAAGCTTTTCACCCGGCACATCCCGCATATCCTTTCCGCTTTTATCAAGATATCTCTGAGTAATCCCAGCACTCAAGAGGCTGAAGCAAGAGAACTGTCGAGTTTGAGGCCATGCTGGGCTCCACAGTGACTTCAAGGCCAGCCTGTTCAAGGCCAGCCTGAACTACACAGAGACCCTGTCTCAAAAAAAAGAAAAAAAAGAAAAAGAAATCTCTAAGACTCTGAGATAAGTACTGCCAAGCCTCTTAGCTAGGACCCCGTCAGAAATCCTCACATCTTAGGGATTAGAAGGAAGCCTCTGGGAGAGGAGTGAGGTGAGGAAGGGTCAGACAGCAGGGAAAACAGGAAAAATGGTCAAAGTGTTTGCAATTGCTGGAGACAGTAAGGGCAGATGGGGTTTGCTGATCTACTCTCTTCACTTCTTTATGTATTGGGAAAGTTCCATTATGAGCATTAAGAAAGAAAAGAAGCCAGAAGTGGTAGCACATGTCTCTAATCCCAGGACTCCGGGAGGCGGGAGAATTACCTAGGGAATTTAGCAACTTAGCAAGACCCTGTCTTAAAATAAAATAATAAATAAAAAGGGTTGGGGCGCCGGGGATTTAGCTCAGTGGTTTTGGTGCCTACTGTGCAAGCGCGAGGACCCGAGTTTGATCCCTGGTACCAAAAAAAAAAAAAAGGGTTGGGGATGTAGCTCAATGTGAAGGCCCTGAGTTCAGAGCCCAGTACCTAAAAGAAAGGGCGGGGGGAGGAGAAAGTGAGAAGTAGAGGGGGAGAGAGAGAGGGACGGAGAGATGACTATCTTCTCCTTTTATTCCCGTGTGGATAAAGACCTGATGGATGGAGCTCCCATAAACCTACTGGATCATGAGCTGGACTAAGCACGCAATGGAGAAATATGAAAAAAGCCTACTGAGAGTGGAGTCAAAACATCAGCCTAAGAATGCCCACCTCTAGATTTCATTCATAAGAGAAAAATAGACCAGTGTTTTCTTGACAACAAAAACAAATCCTACTGTGGTAGGAGGGCTCTGGACCAATGAGACCCAGAGGGCTGGTGAATGTACCCGCATGCTCGGGAGGGTGTGGCAGTGCACCCCAACTCCTGCTCCTCTGGCTGTTTCCCTGCATTCTTCCTACAACAGCAGGAAACATTGACCTGAGTTCTGGGAGGCTGCAGAACTGCCTGGCACAGCCAGTGTCCCCTGTGAGTGCACAGGAGTGTGGGTTTCTCTCTCACCACAGCTCAGGCTTGATGCTTACTCACTATTTTCCCTAACTCCTGGTAAGGATCCATTTTTTTTCTTTTTCCTTCCTTCCTTCCTTCCTTCCTTCCTTCCTTCCTTCCTTTATATATTAATTGGTACCAAGGATCCATTTTCATCCAGTTCCGACAAGTTAGTCAGAACCACAAGGCAGAAAGGACAGATGGGATGTGGGGAAGCTGGTGGTTACAAGTGGCTTTCACACTTCTGTGGACTTCACATTGCCCCCTAACTCCTGGGCAGTGAACCCCCAACCTCACTCTCCCCTCCTGGACTGGGGTACCCCAGGGAAGCCTTACCCAAGCCCCACGCAGCTGCGGCAGCCATCCTGGCCATCTTGGCTTGGGTCTCATCATTCACCAGCGTCCACTTTTCACAGCACTGCTGGTGGAGCTGCCCCCTGGAGGAGAAGAATGATCTAGTCAGGTTAACTGAAATGACCATCAGCCTTCCGCTCTGGCCCCTTGGCTCAGCTGGGGGCTGCAGAGGAGCTGAGAGCCTTTAAATAAAACTCCCAGTCTCCTGGGTCATAAAATAGCAAAGTGAACAGGCTACATATGGTGTCTGTGTCCTGGTGTTCATAATCTGTCTAAGAGTGAATTTATCAGCCATAGGGATGGTATCTAACTCTATGTGATGTGAAATGTCTGGAACATTGAGCCCCTTCATAAATATTAAATAACTTCCTTCCCAGGCCAGTGAACCCTTTGGTAGGTCTACAGAAAAAGCCATCTGAAGAGACATATCTGACATTCTGGGCTCAACGTTATAGGAAGAACTAGCTCTTTAAAACACTATACAAACTGTTTCAGTGTGAGATGAAAATCGAATGAAATCCGTCTGTACAGAAGAAATGCTCTACCATGGCAACATGTACCAGAAATCCAGAAAATGTTGCTTAGCCTCAGAATTTTGCAATTACCAACAGCATGGGTAAGGACTGTATCAAGATATAAATGTGCTTCAGAGACCACAATACACCGAAAGAATAGAACAGAGACTTCCTATTGATATTAAAGCTGCTGCCCTACCTAGGGGTTGAGGGTGTAGTTCAGTGGTAGAGAGCTTGACTGCAAAGTTTGAGGCCTTGGGTTTGACCACCACCTTTGTGGGGGGGTGGGGGGGGAGAAGCAAGCAAAAAACTGTTGCAAATCCATTTTCCACTCATGAATGAAAGGAAATATTCCCTGCTACTCTGCAAAAGAAAGGCTCTGATTTCATGTGAACTTCAAGATGCAGCTGGGTAGATGTGGTGGCACACACCTCTTATCCCAGCTACTTGGTTGCTTGGTTGGCTGAGACAAGATTACAAATTCAAGACTAGCCTGGGAAATTTAGCAAGATCTCTGTCTCTGAATAAAAAAGCAAAGCAAGGTGGCGCACTTATAATACCAGCATTCTGGAGATCAAGGCAGGAGGATCACAAGTGCATCCCTAGCCTGGACAACTTCAGTGACTTAACAAGACCCAGTCTCAAAATAAAAAAAGGGCTAGAGTGCAGCTCAGCACTCTGGGTTCAATCATCGGTAAGGGGGTGCACCTAGGGGGAGCAGCTAGGAGATTATCTGATTTTTCCTGCTTGTGGAAAGACGTGCTGCAGGCAGTTTTAACTTGGCACTGTAAGTAGAGTCAAGAGAAAGGGCAGAAGTACCAGGTGGCCTAGGCTGGAAGCCTTATGGGACACGGACGGCATAGTAAGTAACATGAGGTGACACGGGGGGATGAAGATGCTGAAGTCAAGTCACTGCTGAAGGGATCAAGGCTGAGCTCACTGAGAAGCTCACTGGGGACCAAGTGCTGAGGCTTGGCAGATAGTAACTCATACTTCTTTGGCACATGTTCAGGATGGCAGGGACACAGCACTCTGGCTCACACGCAGCAGAAACCAAGAGGCAGAGGGTGGCTACTGTGCCCTATGCACTCACTGAAGCTTAGTGATGGGAGCAGGATCAACTTCCTCCTACCCACACTGAGAAACATTCAGTCCTGGGCCCTGCCAGGGATTGGCTCAGCACACAGTTCTCAAGCTACAGTGCATGAGAACCTGCGGTGGGGGGGCCTGCAGATGGCAGGACTGAATCCTGAGTTTCTGATGCAGGAGTTCTGGGCTGGGTCCTGAGAACTTGCCTTCCTGTCTGTGTTTGTTTCTTACTTTGTTTCCTTTCTTCTCTCCCTCCTTTTGTTCCTTCCTTTTCTCTCCCTCCTTTCCCATCTCTCTCTGAGACACAGTCTTGCTATGTAGTTCAGGCACCTTGAGCTCACTTTGTAGTCTGGGCTGGCCTTGAACTCATGGTACTCTCCCCTGCTTCAGCTTCCTGAATGCTGGGATTACAGGCAGGTGCCACTATGCCTGGCTGAGAACAAGCATTCCTACTAAGTTTCTATGTGATGTCAAAGCTCTTGGTTAAGAGGCCACTGTTTGAGAACCTCAGGCTCAGAGCATAGGAGCAGCTCATCTGTGAGATATGGTTTTTTGTTGGGAGAGTCTTGCCCGGAGACCCCTGGGGTATCCTGGAAGTAGGAGAGAAAGTATCCAAATGGTCCTTTGAAGCCTGCAGTTCAAATTTTCTTTAGGTGTGTGCATGTGTGTGTCTGCGTGGGTGTGTGTTTATTTACATTTTTATTTTGTCATTAGTGGTCAGGCTTCCCAGTTCCTGCCTCAGAGAAGAGGGGCAAGAAAACCAGCAGATGCCCAGAGGGTGGAGGAGGTGAGCCTCTTGGGCCGATGTACCACTGCCCCAGAGGGCCCAGGAGGTGAGCTGCATGGGCGCCAGCACACCCGCCCCCTCTGGCTGTGCTGAGCCATTACCTGGATCCACAACAGAGTTGCAGAGGTCATAAAGGACATTGTTCTGAGCTTGAGAAGACAGAGTAGAAGTGAACAACAGAAAGAGGGTCTCTCTGAGGCCCCTTGATGAAAATTAAAGCCCACCGGAAAAGTGAAGAAAATCTCTGCCATAAAGGCACACCAGACCACCTTAGTTGGGAGAGCAACAGTGTGGACCAGAGCAGCACAGCTGTAAGCAGATCTCAGCCAGGGGTCCGCTCCGACCCCAGAGGCTGGGGCACACCGGCCCAAGCCAAGGCCCTGCCTGGGAAAGAGCTGCACAGGCACACAAGCAACAGCCAGAGGTTCACCCCAATACAATCAGTAAGTGTGCAAGTCCCTAGCCAGAAGCTTGCTCACACAACAGGAACTGGGGTGCACAGCCCCCAGCCAAAGGCCCTCTCAGACAACAGCTACATAGGGGCCCTAGGGAGTGGCTCACCTAGATACCATTCCAAGTGTGCACAGGCCCCAGCCAGAAGCCCACCCAGACAACAGGTCAGCTCAGGGATCCAGAAGGCCACCACTCTGAACCCAGGAATTAGTGTACTGGTGAGCAGCAGAGAAAAGGCAGCTCTGTGGCTTGCTGAGAACTGAAGGCCATTGGGTGAGCAAAAAGTTGCCTCAACAAAGGCATAGCAGGGTGCATCTGTTGAAATGAGAAGACAGGTAAACAAGTCTCAAAACCAGACTTCCACATCACCTAAGGCAACCCCAAAGGGAAATGAGATGGAACAATCTGATAGTCAACCACCTGGACTCCCTGAACTGGCAAAAAAAAGAGGATCTGAAAAAA